GTGTGGCCATCTGCTAGGAGAGAAATGTACAGCAGGGTTAATGTGGTCAGCGTGTTTCACAGCCGCTTGTTAGCACAAACATTGGGATCGTAGTTTTGGTTCCAGATTCTGATGGAGACCATATTTCAGTGGGCAGCAGAGCTTCATGTTTTCTCTTCCTTATCTCCAAAATCAATTAACTTCTCACACCTCTGAGCACGTAAATAATTCATTCATTCTGATGCTCCAGGCTTGGATGTGTCTGTCTCCCCTCTGACTTGAGAAAGAATGTCAAGTCTTTGTCTTGTCATCAAGACTTGTGCTGACTACAGTCTGGTCAGTTGTCCAAGGACCCAAAAGCAAGATGATACCTGAGATTTATTAATCAGGGTATTGTTAGTAGACTTAACACACAAAGACTTCTGAAAAAGCATAAAATGGAAGAACATGCATTACTACAAACAGAATTGGCTTGCTTTTTCATGTATCCAGCTACTTCTAACTATGAGAAATCTTGCTGTCTAGAGAGACACCAAAGGCAAGAATGAGAGGTGTTGCTTATGAGGAATTGTGATGGCAAGGATGGGGAAAGGTTGCATAACCCCACAGGTCTGCTTTGTTCTTTCTAGTATAGCCCTCAAACAGTTTGAAATTATATTACGCTACTGTTTAAACCAATTAAATAGTAACATGGATTTTTTTGGTTTTTAGGGTTTTGTAAAGTCATGTGCAGCTACCATGCAAAAGATAGCTTATTTGCAATTTGGGACTGCCCACTACAAATATTTTGAGTGTAGTTCTCTAACAAATATCAGAACAGACTTTCTTTCTGTACCTTATATAGATATTTACAGACTAAAAAGGCATGCTTATAAAAGGTGGAATGTTTAAATAATTACTGCTTTGTCCTGTAAGCTTTTTGTAGTTGTTTCCTACTCTCAAAGAAGAAAAAAGAACCTAATCAACACGTCTAACTCTTAAAATACCTGGTCTAATATAATTTTACTCCTCTTCTTGCATGAGTGATACTACAAAAAATGTGTCTTTTCTGTGTTCAGAATGTGACCCAGAACCTAAATCCTTTGTCTTTTTGTTGGTTTGTGATTTGTTGTTATGTTTGCAGCAAATCAAATAAGGTAGTAAGGTGTCAGTAGTCACATCTTGCAGATTCTGTGGTGACTTGTAATGTAGACTGTGAATAAAGTAGGTGCAGGGGAGGGAATTGAGACACTGAGAAAATGTAGATGAAAAATTTTAGATACAGGTATGTATTGGTAGATACTCTTTTTTCAAAAACAGGGATGAATTGTTACCTCTTTGCTCATGCAACGACCTATTACAGTAGCCTACAAAGCACAGGATAAACCATTCTGGATTTGGTGATAAGAAGGTTGTCAGGGGCTGATTATATCAGAGCAGATTTCCTGCCTTACAGTGATACCATATGATCTGGCCCATTTTCAGGTGTTCCAGAGATGAAGAGGAACAACCCAATTAATCCGTGTATAGATTTTCTGTTTGCCTGCAGAGTGGTGGACAGTTGGTTTGTATTCCTGTTCAGTGCAATCTGCATGTACTTACTGTCCTAGGGGAGATGACAAATTTTCCATCTTGCCATAAAGCATGTTTCACCTTGGCATAGTGGAAACATCATATTAAATGATGGAAACAAAGTCTAATTCAGTCCAAAATCCTCTATTAAATTTCCTTTTAACTATGTACCTTTACTTTCTTGAGTTTAAAGTTCCTATCAGAGAAATGGGCACTAGCTTCTCTATAACTGTAGGCTGTTTCCCCTTGAAAAACTGCAGCATAAACTAATTGGCATTTTAACAGAGCACAGAGGGACCAGAATACATACTTGCATCACACATAAAGGTCTTGCTGTATTTTCTCTTAATTGCAAACTTGGCAACCGAGCCCACAATCTGATTCTTAATCTGGATGTCTACCAGTTCTTTGATCACCAAGAGAAAAATTTAATGGCAGCTTGGTCAGCCTCTTTGTTAATTGGAGAGCTGGTGTACAATCAGTTGTTGGCTTCTAGTCCTGTTGTGTTTTGCTGGGAGGCTGACATAGCTGTGGAAAACCATGGCTGCAGTCTGATTCTCCACAGCTGCTTTCAAGGTAAACCACAATCTATGTCTAATTCCTAGGAGTCAAACAAACCTCTATAGTGCAAGCAGTTTGATGTTACTGCTAAGACCTCCTCCTAGCAAATATTGAGAATTCAAGGAGCATTTTAAAAATTCTCGTTTGTTGCAAAAACAGCTGCAGGCGTTACAAGTCTATGATGTATTGGTGAACACAGGAGGCTTAAAAACGTTTTTGTTGTCAAGACCTAGAAGTAATTGTCTTTCTGATAATGGAAATCTGTTTCTTTTTTCTTTTTTTTTTTTTTTTTTTTGTGGCTGGAGAATGCCTGGAAATAGCTTTAATCCTTATGTTGCTCTTAGTTCCTCAAAAACAATGGGACTGACAGGCTAAACACCTCTCTTGAAAAAGCAAGTAAGACAAGTTTACTTCGAGGTGATATAGTAAAAGTCTGTTTAAGTCAACTGCTTCAGCATCTGTCAGTTCTCACCATACAGAACCTGTCAAGCAGGCAGGTCATTTCTAAAGGAAGTGCTGTGAAAATTGAGAGCACTTTTTATACCTTTGTTAGCAAGCATAATTCATTAATTCCCAAAGTCTAGAAGGCCTGTTGAGCTGGCAGAGTTAAGGTACATTACCTCTCATAGACAGCAAGCAGAAGTGGGAGCAGGGTGCTTTCACTTCCAGGCAAAATGTGAGCTGCATTGGCCAGGTGACATTTATTGAGTCTAGAACTTTGACAAATCCATGCCTCTATCTCTGTCTGGTTACGTTAACTGTCCACAGATCTGAGAATCCTGCAGGCAGGGAAGCAGGCTGCAACCTGGGATCCTGTCCCCTTCCACAGCCCAGCTGAGCTTCCTCTGCTCTGAGCTGGCTTGTAAAGGTTTCCAACCACACCCCAATTTCAGTGACTGAATACCAAGGGGAGAGGGGTGAGCAGTGTCTGGGGTAGAAGGATTGAATCAAACAGGGTGAGGACACTGAATGCTTGTCCTGTGACTCAATACCCTCCCTCTAGAGAACCTCCCTTGGCATATGTTGTCATACTGTCCCAGAGCACTTGGTGCCCTGCAGGCTGTACAAACAGCTGAAAAGCCAGTCCCTTCCCTAAGGGGCATCACTTCTGAGAAGACAAATAACACGTGTGAAAGGTGAAAGGGAGAAGCAGCCGCCTGTGTAAAAAAATTGTGTTCTGCATTTCCATTCTTCCTGCTGGCTGCATTTATAAACTGAGTAATATATTTGCTGGAGGGCAAAGGGAAGCTACTGCTGTGTTCCTGCTTCTACTTAGAACACATGCTTAGGAAAGGTATTTAGTTTGGCCCTTAGAGAAGCGCCGAGGGAGTGAGAAAATTTTAATGGCCCAGTTATACTATGGACTGTTGTTAAAAATGCCAATGGTGACCTCAACATCTAGCAGCCTAAACTGTATGTAGTAGGTTTGAGGCACCCCTAGAAGGGACTGATTTTTGACAGTACTTTCAAAATGAAGTGTTAAGTATTCCAACAATTCCAAATATACCACCAGATATATTACTATATATATATTGTAATATACCTGGTGCATTCAAGTAAGGCTTTTCATATCTGGCCATACAAAGATGAAAGATAAATTGATTGACAGATGAGAATGGTCTATCTTAGTTTGAGGGCTGGGACTAGATCAGTGTCCTTTCTCTGCTGTGAATGACTGTTTGTACGTGACAATCAAATCTGCAAACTATAATTAAAGGGCTGTTATCAGAATTAATTGATTGTGCCAGAAGATCTGTCCCCTAAACCCATGAGAAATGTCATACTCTGGTGAACTTCCCTGGGATTAGGCTAGATGATCTTTAAAGGTCCCTCCCAACCCAAACCATTCATGATTGTCCATCAGGCCTGTTAAAGACAGCACCATTGCACAGCAATGTGGACTGTGCTTAGCCTTCCAGTCTCAGTAAATGGACCTGATTTGATTTCTCCCTTGGGCTCTGTTGTTAGCTTATTTTGCTGAAGGAAAGGACATAAATGGAGAAGGAAGATTAAGCATGACTTGACTTTTTATTGTTTAAGTGTTCTCTAAATCTGTGTGGTAACTTCCCTGATCTGCAGGTTAGTCTCCAGGCCATGTGTAAGCATATGCCTAATATGTTACATGCCTAACAAGGGAAAAAAAAACAACCTCTCAAATTGCCCACAGCAACTACTTATTCTGTTAAAGCATGCCTCATAAAAGCAGGAAAACCCTGAAGCCTGAAAACAAATTATTAAAAATTTGTCTCCCAGTTTTTAAAATTACTGCAGTTCATGTGATGGATATATAGAGATTAATAAAATAAATAGCAAAAATTTATTTTCTTGCATGTGATGATGTTTTACTCTGTAACTCATTGTATTCATATAAGGATTTTTGTGTAATTTATTGAAAAAATGGCACCACGCTTCCAGTACACATTTGGACTGTGCGTGTGTAAAAGCAGTGCCAAAAAAACCCTGAAGAGGCATCTTATGAGCCTCAAAATAGCCATGCTCTTAATTTTGCTAGAGACTTTTTATGCTGTTCTACTTGCTTATCTCAATTTTAATCTTGGAAAACTGGCCTTTGAAGGCAGGAAGTGAAAATCTGCAGTCACTGGAGACTTCTCTAGTGCTTGAGTATTTAACATAGCAAAGCTGTTTGTTTTATTTTTTTAAAGAGTTACCCTCAGAACATAGGTTGAAGTAGTAAGGCTGAGGCTCTTCCCTTTCCAGCTCACTGTCATTCTTCAGAATTAAATAAGGAGCATAACGGGTGAGAAGATGGAAATAGCATGTGGAGAGAGTGTTAAAAAAAATCAACACACAAAAAACAAGCAACCAAAAAAATCTCTTTGCTTCCTGTTCACATAGGTAGGTATGTGAAGTATGTTTATATCTCATTTTTTCATTTTCCTCTTCCTCAGGCATTTACCAGAAAAAGTCAAAGACCATGTTCAGCTGAAGAATATGAGTGGGCAGTGGTTTTATGAGGCCAAGTCAAAGAGGCACAGGGATAAGATCCATGGAGCAGATATTATCAGAGCTTCCATGCGCAGGAAACCTGCCACCATTGGTAAGCATTTGGAAATTTGTTTTGGAACTTTATTTTGGAAAGGTTGCCTCTTACTTTGCTAACCTCAGACAATGTTGTCTGTGAAACACATGAATACTGGTCTCTCTGCAAGTGGAAAGTTATGAAAAAAGAGACTTCCCATGTAATTAACAGTGGAAGCTTTCCTCTCCCACAGTGCCATGTATTAAAGAGCCATGACTGCTAACAGAAGGAACTGGCTTGTGTTTATGTGTAGGATTAAAAGCTCTCTGCACTCCTAGACTCATTCTCATTTCCATTTCTGAGGCTCATAAATAAATATATATAAATATTTATAAATATTCATAAATAACCCTATGAGTTATTTAGGAACATGCAAAGAAGAGATTGAGAAAAATGCTCTCTAACATGAGTTTCCAAGATTTCGGTGCTTGGTTTGAGACCTTTGAGGCTTAATGGCAGGCGTCACAAGCTAGAGATAGTGGTTATAACTAACTGAAATATATGTGCTGAAAGCTCTGGTAGCTGTGACTGGCATCCTGTGTCCAGGTAGCTTTAAGTGCACCCATAATCCCCATGCCATGGTGGGTGCCCTGATCACCAGTAACTTTACCCCTTGGAGGGAGGGAGTGAACAGTGAATCTGTATTCACAAAAGCATATTATATAATATCCAGGATTTCATAGACCTCCCATTATAAATCTCTCAGCATATGACTTTTAATCTAAAGTGACCTGGTCTACTTTATCATTCTTTGTATAGAAAGTGATTTTTCTTCTTAGTGAAACAGAGCTACATCCCCTTTTTACCTCCTCAAGTTCTGCTAAGTCCTTTTGATTTAGAAGGGCAAGATTTACCTTATTCTTACCAAATTGTACTGATATTTGTACCATTTAGTTTTTTTGGTTCTGTCAAGTGATTTTGAAATGTGCTAGTGAAGCAAGTAAGGTACTTCCTTCTATACTGTGAATGGACTACAGTTTGTAGCTTTCTATGGGTTTTCTAACTACAAGTTAGTCTTGTTTTCCTCTGACTAACCCTGTAGTATTGCACCTTCTCAATTTCTATATTTTCAGAGATGATTTTGAATAATGTGAGTTTAGTCAGTTTGAGGTTACTGCTTTGAGTTTTTAAGTTAAAAAGAAAAGGCCTGAAGCAGAAAAAAATGCAGAAAAAACCCCCCCATAGGTGGTTAGTGTGGTGCATTTGTCATTTTGGCTGGTTTTGTGCTTAAAGGTTATGAAAATCAGCTGTAAAATTCTAGCTAAATTTCACAGTAACTTGTATCTTAAAGGAAAGTACTAAAAGCCATACCATCTTAAAGGAAAGTTAATTAATCCCAATCTTGTTACTTAAACAAAAGGACATGTTGGCACATTCAGAACTGTACAATTGCTTGGTTTCATTTACTCAGGAAAGTTAATTAATCCCAATCTTGTTACTTAAACAAAGGGACATGTTGGCACATTCAGAACTATGTACAATTGCTTGGTTTCAATTACTCATGAGATGGCAAGATACTTTTCCTTGCAGTTTTAGATAGCAAAAATATGAATAAAAATCTTTCCTATTCTTGCACACTAAAAAATTCTTCACTTCTAAACTGTTGGTGAAGTGGAAAAAGCATTAGAGGAAATAATGGAATGTTTTTGCTCTGAAAGGGATTATCGGAATAGGATTTTGTTCCACCCTAGAAAGAAATGCAAATGTATTTGCATTGCTGAGTGAGGTGGGGCTTTTTGTTTGGGGTTTTTATGTTACCTTTTTAACATCTTGTGGTAATTCTCTTCATAAAGGATTAGCCACCTGCCTAAGTGAGTTATGACCAACTTCCACTTTACTGCTTAAAAAGGGAAAAATTTAATTGATTTCAACATATTTTCAGTTTCCTCTGGTTTAATAATTTTTTCCTTCCTCAGGAGACTGAGGATGAACTTTCAGTATTTGTCTAACTGCAAGATCAACCTTACCAGGGTTCTTGTAGAAAACTCCGCAATTTAGGATCACTTTAAGGTGAAAACCAGAAATATCTGGTAAAATGAAGTATTCAGAACAGTATTTGACATTTTTTGTAGCATTAAAAAGGTCTTCTTTAGAAGGCACCAGGTCTGCTTCTGAAAACAATTCAAGTATAGTGGGCTTTAGAAATAGCTGTAGGCCTAAATGCAAATACTTGTACTTCTTTCTTAAGAAATCCTATATGAACATGTGGGAAACAACAATTTTCTTGCTTCATGTTTTAGCTGAAGTGGGTCACAACAAAACAAGCAAAGCAAAGATCAGCTGGGTGAACAATGTTAATAAAGAAGTGTTCGTGCCACCAGATCTACATGGCATTGAGGAGCATCAAGAAGAAGAGCAACAGAAAACTAGTTGGAGGTAAACTGTCTGTTTACATGCTTAGAATGTGCATGAAACTTGGGAGCTGTAAGTTCCACCCAAAATATTGTACTTATCTCTTACTTCAAAGGTCACCAAATGTTCCCTTACAATTGTACAACAAAGCTCTGCATGTGACAGACACATAGTCATGTACTGTTCTGCATTTGAATATAGAACAATTAATAATCTTCAGCTTGCCTTTCTCAGAAAAAGTTGACAATCAAACATAGAATGGTTGCACACATGTTCTCATGTCACAATTAACTTTGGTTCCTCGAAGTGAGACCTGGATTTTCTAGTTAGAATGGCTGGCCATGATCAGTCCCCTGATGAGGATAGAATGGTTTAATAGAAATTATTCTATCAAATCGGCCTGAATTTTAAACTGGGATTACAGCATTATTGAGGTTAGAAAAACCTGTAAAATCATCAGGTCCAGCCATTAACCCAGTACTGCCAATGCCACCACTAAACCACATTCCCAAGTGCCACATCCACATGTTTTGAACACTTCATATCACATGAAGAATTGGAGACTAAGAAATTGCTGTTTAGAATTTTCCAAATTATTTGGTATGCAGTTTAAGATCTCTGAAACTTTTTAAGAAGACCAAACATATTTCAGATGGAAAGAACTAGAATCTTTAGATAGCTGCAGAAAATTAGTCAGCTTCTACCAAGAAAAGTAAACGTCCTTCTGGAATGGAGAAGCTTCCTTTCAGAGTAAGAAAAGAGTCACCTTGGTATGCCTGAATGACTACAGTTGTCAGGAGGGCTGGATGATAAGTAGTTTCTGAACTAAAAAGGATTTCGTATTAAATCACTTTATCTTAAGTCCATAAACATCCCAAACAGCTTTATTTTGTTTTGAAATATCCTGAGTTGATTTCTGAAACAGACATGCCTTCTCTTTAAAATACCTACATGTAATTCGTTGGCTGTATTAAAAGGCTTACAAAAAGCCTACATTTGAGAAGGAAAGTGCTGAAACAGCTGGAGTCAGTGCAGGTAAAAGTGAAATGTCTTAAAGTGACTAGATTCCTCAACACACTGAGGAAACAAGAACCAGGGTGTAACCCAGATAGCCACTGTTTGTGCTTACAGTGAACAGAGTGAGTTAAGAGCCAGAGTTACTTCTTAGGGGAACTGCTTTACTTCTGGTTCTGCCATTGATCAGCTCTGTAACCTGTCACTTTCTTGTCTGTCTTCTAAGTCCTTCTCTGTGCATGATCTGTTTTTTCTTTGCAGTAAGGCTTCTCCTACTCTGCATTTGTACAATACCTAGTAGCAATTGAACCTTTCACTTTTGTGGTCTGCAGTCTGGGCACACACATTCATGGGGAATGGCAGCAAAGGTTGGTGTGAGTCTTAATAACTCTGGTGTGTGTTTTTCTTATATTTTATCACTATCAGTGAACTCAGAGGTGTTTGTTTTCACCACACCTGAAAGAGGTGTGCTGAAAGAAGTCAAATCAACTGCTTTGTTATAGACTTGCCAAAAATGAAGTTGTCCAAAAAGGATGGTAAAGGTTGCTTATGACAAGACAGAGCTCTGTTTTCCTTCCCAGCTGAAGTTAACTGATGTGCTGACAGAGTTAGTTGTTACTAAATGTAGTTTTTTTTACTGGTGGCTTTTACATTCAGGGAGTTGTTATGAAGATATTTCTTTAAGAAAAGCAGAAGACATGTGGCTATTTAATATATCTTTTAGAATATTTCACATATCATCTTGCACATCAGGAACAGATGATGATATTTTTAAAGAAGTATAGCCTTATAATCCTATTCTTATAATTAGAACTCGCCACAAACTGTGTGTGATTGATAAGGTATAATAGCTTTCATAATATACCAGGGCAGCCTCTTCAAAAATACATAACATAGTAAGGTTTAAGAATATGTAGACAATTTTTTTAAATGAGACCAACTTGATAGTGATCTTCAAGTTTAAGTGATTTGATGACTAATTTCACATCACAGCCATGCAAAGCTTGATAATTATTTTCCAGAGCTCTCTCCTACCTTTTGCTCCAAATTGTACCAGAAATTGATCAGCCTCCATGCCTTGTTCATGTGTACTTGTACTTTCCTCAGTAGCTCAAGATCTTCTCTCTAAAGCATGCTCACACAGTCCAGTGATTTATGAGGCAATTGGAAATGGACATTAGGAAGTGATCTGTCATGTGTGGGCTGGATGCTTACTTACATTGACTGTGCATAAATAACTTGATTGGATGCCTCAGATCATTTGTTTCTGAAATGTCAAAATCTATGGCAAGCAAATGTGGCAGGACTGTGAAATTCATTGCTTATGATTTTAGTGTGGGCTTAATTCACCATAACTGAGGTTAGTCTACACAATATTGTGTGTGAGAAATTGCAGGAGGCACCATATGCTTTTAAAATACTTTGCCTCTCTGTTCTCTTGATACTGGAATTTGAAAGAGATTGGCCTGGTGTAACTGTGGGCCTGTCTCTAATGGCAGAAGGAAACACAATGGTGCAAAAGCAATAACCCCAGTAGCTGGGTTGGGAAGGCAAAGTTTACAAACATTCAATTTGGCTGCTAGGATAGTGGAGCCACAAGGAATTAATGGTCTCTTCCTCTCACAATGGAATAGTTTTAACACAGCTAAGAGGATGAAACAGAGTATCATTGCAGAATTTGGGATTGCATTAAAGGCAGTTCACAGTTTACAGTGTCCAAATGCTATCTGTGGTTCAAGCACTTGGACTTTTAAAGTGCTGCTTTAAGAATAAGTTTGTGGGGTTTTTCTGTTTGCTTTTCTCCCCCCTTCTTTCTCTAGGAGTGTGGCTCAGGCCAGCACTGACTTGCAGGCTTTGCATAAACTACACAGCTGCTAACTTGAGGATTGGGTCCAGAAGCTATATGATAACAAATTACTCAGAGTACTTTTGTTCTGGATCCTGTTCTTAAAGCAAAACAATTCTTACTGAGTGTAAAGGAAGTTTAGTTCTGCTAGATCTGTTTGTAAACTGATAAGGATAAAATCCAACCCTGGGGCCAGTTCAACTACTGTTGTATCAGGGTGCTGCTATATTAGGTAGAGCAACAATATTCTTAAAATTAGCAGTGACGTTTATTCCCACACCCCAAATATCTAAATTCCATAATGAAGCTATGAATTATTTCTTTTTTGAGTTTAATGTCATTGTGATAATTTTTTGCATACCAGAGCCTTTACAGGCTAGGTGTGTGAAGTGTCTTTAAAGGTGTAACCTTGAACAGAATGAGTTTTCAAAGGTGAGTCACACTGTCAATATTACATCTGTCCAGTGATGCCATCTGTCTGTATGATGAATCTCAAAAAACTAGGGTTGTCTTTCAAATTAAGATTCACAGGTTGTTTTCTTCCCTAAGCTAGAAAGTGTTCTTGATCAACACTGAACAGGTGGCAAGTGGGGGTCCTGGAGTTCAGCAAGAGGAAAACTTGCACAAAAGCCCTGACTTTTAGAATCCATGTATTGACAATGCCTGCAAGTCTGTAACCCCTTTCTCTAGCTTTGCTTCTGCCTTTGTCTTGTTGCCTCAGTCTTTATGGGACTTAGGCCTTCATTGTGGTTCTCAGCACATCATTTTTGCAAGTTGAAGTGTAGAATTTTTAAAGCCTTTTTTAATTTATCAGTTTGGCCTTATACACTTTTAGATTAGCCTTGTGAATGCAGCATATCTGGGAACAGTTTGTTCAATTTTCTTATCTATATGGGTTGTGGGTAAACTCATTTTCAGACCCATTGTTGTAAAATGTAGTTATAGGATCCTGGCTGTTGTTTTTTCTCTGCTTTGCTTTATTTAGACCAGGGTTTTCAGAATGTAATGCCAAGTTGTTAATATTTAATTATTCTATGGTAAATCCAAAGAAACATTGCATTAAAGATTATGAGATTATGTTTCATTGAACACACACAAACACACACCCACACACAGAGTTACTGCTCCACCTGTAAAAACTTCACTGAAGAATGTCTTATCAGTTTCTTGCAGCCCAGGGTGCTTAACAGTACTTTTCTTGCTTAAAATGAGTGAGGGGTTGAAGAATTTGGGACCTAAACCTGAAATACAAAAATTATGATTGTCCTGTTCAATAGTAGATGTTGCAGAAAAGACACAAAATGCAGGAGCAGGTGTGGTGCTCCCAAAACCAAAACCACAAGTGCTTTATAAAAGCAAGAACACAAACTCAATTTTCTGTAGCTTCTTTAAAATGTATGTCTATTTTCATACTTAAAAAATATATTAGAACTAAGGTTAAAAGCCATAATGTGAAAGGATATTTCGGAAAAGAAACTAGAAGTTGCAACATTTAGCCCTTCGAGAAACAGAACATTTTTTTCTTGCTTGGGATCAGCAAATAGTAGAAAGAACAATAGTAATCCGTTAGTAATCTGGTGCATGCATGTAAGAGGCCGCAACAGTTACTGTCCTACAAAAATGTAAGAACAGTTAATTTTTCACCCTTGAGATAGATTCCATTGCAAGATCAGCTCATACCTTAACCCTCTATCACTATGCATGGTGGTATATTTCTTAAAGGTAGTGTTGACTCAAAAGAGCAAGGAAGTGATATAGAAGTTGATAGTTCAGATTGCACCTGTTTTTTGGGGTTTTTTTTGCTAGCCTTATGTTCACACTGCTCACTATGGTTATTTTATCTTCTCCATAATTATGTTTTTCCTTCTGCAAAATGTAAGTGATGTCACTGCTCAGACACACTTAGCAGTCCAGAGGCAAATAGGCTTTCAAGGGTAGTTTATCAGAGTGTTTGGGGGGGTTTTTTCTCCCCTAAAGTTTGAGCTTAACTGTGCACCTTGCAGAAGATGGGAAAGTTGTCTTCCCCTCAGGAGGGCAGACTGTACCAATTACCAGACTGGAGAGATATTTGTCAATGCAAGGAGATGAATCTGGAACTTGATGAGAGGTGGGTGCTGTTTCTGTCCTGAGACACCTTGTGGCTCTCCTATTTACCACCCTTAAGCCTTTTCACACATAACAAAGATCATTGAGCAAACAAATACTCAGTTTTGGAATCTCTTTGTACATCTATATCGGAAAAAACATAGGAGTTGCTTTCCTTCCTAGCCTGAGATATATTTCCTATCTGGAAATATAAAATTTTCTGCTTCATACTGTTCCCCCACCCCAAAATCATAAGTGTGTATCTTAGTTAGTGTCAGTGTTTTCCATATAAAATTAGGACACTCAATATGGTTGTTATGTGAAGATCATATTGAAATCCATTTCTAACTTCAATCTTCAAAAACCAAATACTTTTTCATATCTGAGATGTTTAGATAAACTAAAATGCTAAAAATCTGGTTGGGAAAAAACTCTTGCATCATTCTGCAAGTGAATTAAATATTTCTAGAGACAATATAGGAGCTGTCTCTTCTAGCTATTTTAATTTCTCCATATGTGGGCTATACTTATTATCACAAGTAATAACTTACTTCACTTATGCAACCAATCAAAAAAATTTATACATCTCAATTGAAAGAATAGATTATAAACTGTACCTCTGAGGGGATGTGTTGACATCTGTGAGATGTCACATCTTTAGTGGTGATGGAGTTCCTCTGTTTTTTACTGACTTTGACACTTTGCAAAACTCTATTTTTTAGTCAGATTTTGACACTTTCCTCCAGTTTGATTTCAGTCCTAGAAGTACAAATGGAGGACAAGGATGGAGATGGCAACAATATTGTTTGGAGATTAGCAATATTTATTGTATTTATACAGTATTTACTGTAAATGTAAAATAGAGATTTATATTTATGTTTATTTTTGTAAAGCTTACTCAGACATCTAAAGTGTATTAAAAATATGGTTTCTGTCATACCAAGTAGAAGTTGTATTGAATTCTTTAACAAGTAAATACATTTTTATGAGGAAACAAAGCAGCAACAGTATCCCCTTTGCTATAGGAATGAGGACAGGCTGAACAGAAAAACTCAGGTGCCAAGTGTTTATGTTGGAATATGTGTAAGTGAATCTTTGTTTTGCTTTTCCAAAAAGGTTTAAAGTAATGTCATGTTTGCTGAAGTTGTTATATAATTTTCCTTTACAGTTCTAAAGAAGTAAACCCTGTGTTAAACAAGCCAGAGGAAAGACCTGTGAAGGCAGCAGTCTCATCAGTAAGGGTATGACTGGTACTGAATATGGTGGAAGTCATTTGCTTCAGTGGTAAACATAAGTAAAGCTGTAAGGAGGAAAGATAATAATTTGTAAAAAAAATGAGTTTTTTTTTTTGTTTTGTTTGTTTGTTTGTTTTTGGTTTTTGTTTTGGAGGGAGGTAATAAAAGCCACTAAAGCTTCATCACTAAAGTGCTGCTATACCTATAATCAGTGGCTGTTTTTTCTTAACATTATCTCTAATCTGTTCAACTACTGACAGCAATTGGCATGCTCTGTTCTAATATCACAGAATTAGAGATAAAATTATTTAACTTGCAGGAACCTGGAATTTTCAGGTGTCTTTAAGGGGTGGCTTATCTCTGTTCTTGGTGAGTTCAGAAGAACAAGATGAGGTTATTAATGGCACTTCTGATAGTTTCCTGTTCATATTGTTTAGGTTTTTTGTCATGTATCCAATTTAAGAGGTATGCTTTCAGACTCCTTACTGATGGGTTAGTGGGGAAGAGAAAATCACTGCACTTGTGTCTGTTTTGTGATGTAAGAATTTGCAACAGTAATGTTTGTTTCTTTTTTAGCAAAGGAGAAATCCATTTAATTCCACTGTATCAGATGATAACTTGAACAGTGTGGAATCGGAAGACAGACCAGTCATCATGCCTCAGCTATCAAAGAAGGGTAAATGTACTTGTTTAGCAGATGACTGTGAATTTCTTGTAGGTTTATATGGAAATTATTTTTACTTTCATAACTTCTTTCTGTAAGAGATCAAAACCCATTTCATCTTTAATTATTGGGAGTTCTCAACTAGCTTATTTCAAACCTCATCTAAAGCATGTGGATGTACTCAGGAAATGGTTATAGACATGAGTAAATGGATTTTGCTTCCTTTTATGCATAGTTTTAGTCAGTACTAAGCACTCCATCTGGGAGGGCTGCTTGTCCTGAATTAACAAGAGGACAGTGAAATTTCCTTGAATTTGGCATAGCTGTCTATATAATCTTCCAATCACTGCTGCTAATTAGCTTGACAGAAGCAGCCTACCTCTCTTTAGTCTGTACTTTTCTCCTTTGTTTCCTTAGTCCTGTTTATTTTCCTCCCTTTCGAGCAGTATTTTCTGCAAGCAAGTTGATGAGTGATTATATATCACAATACAGGCATTTGAAATTGTAATTTAGAGTCATATGTGGCTATTACCCTCCTGTCTCTGTTGTGAAGCATGCTAACAGAAAAAGGAAAGATTTGCGTAGTAGGAATAGAAAACCCTTCATCTCCCTGCCAGGAGATTATTTCTGCATTTGCCTTGTTCTATTTGACTGTGGAAATAGCCAGTTTCCGTTTTTGTAGGTTGTTGTTTACATTCTGACACTGAAGAGGTGTATGTGTATTCAAAAGCTGCCATTCTCTGCAAACTTTGTCCCTTGCAGGAATAACGCTGATAATAAACTTGGTGTGCTCTATTTGGGTATCATCAAATAGTTGATGTTTATAAAATAAGCAATAACTGCAAGCTTTTAATTTGCTAAAAATTTCTATTACATAAAAATGAAATCAACACCTCTGTAAAATTACTGACTGTGTTTTTGCTGCAGTGGCTTTTAATAAACTAGTATAATCACTGCATTTTAGATCTGCACTGTAGTATCGTTATGTTTATACTGGCAAATGTCACATAAACTCATGAACTCTTCTATGTCTTACAGAAATTTGGTCACTCCCAGAAGACAGCCCACCTAAATCAAACTTACCAAATGATGAAACAGATAAACCTGAGAAGCCTTCCACAGAATTTACTGATGAACCACAGAAGGAGCTAGCTAAGCGTCCTGTCCCAAAAGCTAGGAAACTAATTCACAAAGCAGCAGATTCTCAAAGAGAAGACCTTGTTCCCAAACCAACCAAGCAGACCGAGAGGGTTAATGGCATTGGTACCCCACCCAGGGGCATTCTGAAGCGCAGCTCAAGCTCAAGTTCCACTGACTCAGAAGTTCGGGTCAGTCAGACGTTAGATATTCAGAAAAAGAATGGTCTTGCAACTGCAACTATTTTTGAAGGAGAAGGTGAGAAGAACTCTTTTATAGAAGAAGCAGAAAACTCCACACAAAATTCACTGGAAAAACTGAAACAAGTGAGGTTTTCATCTAGCTCAGGTAAAGGAAAACCTCTGCAAAGCCCACAGCTACACCATGGTAAAGAAAAAGGAGAGCATGATATCTTAAAACTTGACAAAAAAAAGAATAGTGAAAATTATGCTGTTCAATCAGATTCACTTGGGGATAAGCAAATTTCTGTTGCAAAGCCTTTGGGAACCTATTCATCAACTTTAAAAATGAACACAATAGATGGCTTACAAGAAGACACATCTGCATCCAGCCCTCATGACAGTAACAGATCAGACTTCCCACTTAGTGAAAGCTTCCAGACAGATACAGTTACTCCCAAGAAACATGAAACTCCACAGAAGACCTCCAGAAATATCCTATCAAATCACAATAATGAACGGAGTGTTGATGAGACACATGAAAAAAAATCCAACCAGATCTTGAGCCATGAATCAGAGTCACACAGAAACTTTACTGGTAAGAGTCTAATAGAAGTGAAGAATTGAATGAAATAGGATATAATACGGAATCAGAGTCACACAGAAACTTTACTGGTAAGAGTCTAATAGAAGTGAATTGAATGAAATAGGATATAACACATATTCATTAATGTGGATCACTTGTAGCTAACAATTAACAACTGGGAAACAAAAGTTGTAGGAATGTGCTGCTACATGAATGTCCTACTGCAGAATTAAATAATCAATTTTTTTAACACTTTTATGATCTCCTATTGGTAATCTTATCAGAACCAGTATAGGAATCTGTTATGGATGATATTTTAGTGTAGTGCTGTCAGTTGTCCTTGGGAATAATTCAGATGTGACTTAGGGATTTGCATATGTAACTAAACACAAATATGCTGTATTGTCCACCCTCTGTGTGGGTGTCACACTCAGCCTCCCTTCAATGAAGGCATTTCCTTCAAGAATGGGGTTAACTCATCTTCTTGGCTTGTACCCTCAAAAGCAATGATTCCAGTAGGATGTCTCAGAGCAGGAATTTTCTTCATTCCATTGTCCATGGTATGGTTCTTTCCAAAATCAGGAGGACAGAAAACTCTTTTCTCCACTAACAGTTAAAAAAAATTGAGAATTTTCTAGGTAGACCAAACATTTTTAGTCATGTATCTGATTCATAACTCTGATAAGTTTGTTTACATTGTAGATGGACATCAACTTTCTGCTGAAACAGAAGGACATGAGGTGTCCAATACCCATTCTACAAGTCTTCAACAAGGTAAGCCTGATCTTGTTGAGGAGAGAGATGCTAAAACCATTTTCAAGCCTGGCAAGCATGCTGATGAACTCATGAAAGAGGACGATGAATCTGTGTCTAAAGTTTTAGACTGGTTTAAAAGAAGTTCTAGTACTGAAGATGAGGAAGATGTATCAACAAAGTCCCAAGGCAGGGCGCCCAGAGAGGCAGTGGATGTGTCAATGAGAACAGCAGTTCTTCCTACAAAGCACAGTGGGCCTGGTGTGCATGGAAAAACAGAAGATACAGAAGAGACACCATTTGGAAAGATTAAACAACAGAGCAGAATTTCATCTACATCCTTTACTTCAGAAAACATACAGCTGATAAAGGAGAGAGTGAAGCCTAAGACAGGGGAAGCAAATGAGAAGCAAAATGATAAATTGCTGACTGAATTTGATTGTATGAGAGTTGAAGAAAAAGAACATGGTCAAGAAATCAAACAACAAAATAAAAAATCAAATCTCTTGGACCATCAAGGGCACAAGCTTCCAGCTCAGAAATTTGAATCAGAGAAGGCAATACAAGAAAAAAGAAGAATAAGGGAGATCAGAGCATTCTGGGAAAGGGATAAAACTATCCCCAGTCATGGAGAGAAAGAAGTTAGTATCAATGCTGATGTTTCAGGTGGCCATGCATTAACAGGTCTCAGTGAAAGTGACCAGCTAAAGAGATCTGCAGTGTATCTTCCCAAGGCATTGCACAATCCGAGCAAGAATACATTGAGAAGTCCTGAAGTAAGTTGTGCAAGCAGGGCTTCAAGAAACAAAAGTTACCATTCTTTTGAATCAGGACCAAGCCATGCATTTGGAAAGCCAGAAGGGACACTTCAATCTGATGAACTTCCAAAAGCCAGTAACTTGCATCCCAGAGCTGGTGTCACTTCAGCTTCCTCAAAAAGCAAAGATGAAGATGAGAAGAAAACTCTTAAAGGGAAAGTTGCAGCTTCTTCCCAACAGAAGCCCAGCTTCCAGGTTTTGTCTTTGAAAGAAAAGATGAATGAAAAGTCCAAGAATCAAATTTTAGATCCTTCACACTTCCAGAGTCTGAGAAACTTCTGGGATACTGGAGTTAAATTCCAAAGTAGCATTGACAGGGAAGATGATTCTTTGCCAAATAATACTAGATCAATAACCTATGAAAGAAAATCAAAGGAAGATAAAAAAGGCAGAGATAATGTGAGCAAGCAAGGGTTGATTCAACAACAAACCCAAATATCTGAGAGAGAAAAACCAACAAAACTAGATTCTGAGGTATGCAAAAAGTCTTTAGGATCTCCTATCCTAAAAGGTCTGAATGTGACACACACAAAAAATACAGACTTTCTTCAGCTGGACAGACAACCAGTTATCCCAAAATCTCAGGAAAAGATAGATTTTCCAGAGCAAGAAGTTAGAGAATGTACAGAAAAAAACATTGTTTCATCAAAATATCATAATGTATCCTTGCAGCTCCAGTCACCTGGTGGTAAAGATACTTTAAAAGAGACAGTAGTAGGTGATAAACTATATTTACCTATAGAAAAAGGGGGAAACAAGACTACTCCTTTGGATAAAGAGGAAGTTGCAGCGACTGTGGATAAAGTTGTTCTACCTGCAGGTGAGCTTGCTATATTTAAATCATGTCTAAAGAAGCTAGAAAAGGAAGCCTCTGAGATGTCATGTAGCTTAAACCTAAAAGAAAACATTTTAAAAGGGACACATTTTGAGTCAAATCAGTGCAAGGTCTTTGACAGAACAGGGGACGACCATCATGATATTTCTGTTGATGATCAAGGACAAAAAATAGGCAAAAGTACAGGACAAGTGAATGTGTCATCAACAGATCAGCATGAGAACAGAAAAAGTCTCAGAAAACTGTTCAGGGAATTCAAACCTTTGTATCTACAATATCAGGCAGCAGACAAGGATGATACTCTTGAGGGCTCTCAGAGGCCTCAAGCTGGTTTGGAGAACCTTCTCACACAAACTCATGTATCTCAACCTTCTGAATACAGAAGGGTGGGAAAGAAAACATACAATGACTCAAATAGTGTATCACAAACTAACTTCAGTGTAGAATCAGCACACCAAGAAGCTACTGGTCAGCCTGAAGAGGTCCATGAGCTCATAGAGAAGTCTGTAGCTGGATCCAAGGTCAATAGCTTGAGTTCTGCTCTACAGAAGCTGCTGAAGGAGGCTTCTGAAGCACCACCTCCTAAACCCAAACATGCTGACAGCACAGCATGGGGGACTGCTGAGAAGCAAGTGAAAAGGACAAGGTATGAACATGGTGAAGAGGTGCTGCAGGAAATCAGTGAGACTGTAGAAAGGTCTGTTGCCCCATCCAAGGCCAGTGACTTGAGTTCTGCTTTAGAGAAGCTTCTGAAGGAGGCCGCTGAAACACCACCTCCTAAACCCAAACGTGCTGACAGCACAGCCCAGAGAACTGCTGAGGTGCAAGATAAAGGCATAACTTATGAGCATGGTGAAGAGGTGCTGCAGGAAATCAGTGAGACTGTAGAAAGGTCTGTTGCCCCATCCAGGGCCAGTGGCTTGAGTTCTGCTTTAGAGAGGCTGCTGAAGGAGGCCTCTGAAGCACCCCCTCCTAAACCCAAACGTGCTGACAGTGCAGCACAGAGAACTGCTGAGGTGAGAGGTAAAAGCACAACTTACGAGTGTGGTGAGGAGCTGCCTGAGGAAATCCATGAGATAATAGAAAAGCCTGTTACCCCGTCTTCAGACAGTGGCTTGAGTTCTGGTCTAGAGAAGCTACTGAAGGAGGCCTCTGGAACACCCCCTCCTAAACCAAAATGTGCTAACAGCACAGTACAGAGAACTCTGGAAGCGGAAGCTAAAAGCACAACCTATGAGCATGGTGGAGAGATACCTCAGGAAATCAGTGAGAATATAGAAAAGTCTGTTGCCCCATCCAGGGCCAGTGGCTTGAGTTCTGCTTTAGAGAGGATGCTGAAGGAGGCCTCTGAAACACCCTCTTCTAAGCTGAAATGTGCTGACAGTACAGTACAGGGGACTGCTGAGGTAAAAGCTATGAGCACAGCCCATGAGCATAATGGAGAGCTGGTGCAGGGAGCTGGTGAGACCACAGAAAGATCCACACTGTCCAACACTGAATGTAGAGGGTCTGATGTTAATTTTCAGAATCCACCCAAAGAGGTCTCTGAAACACCAGCTTCTGTGCTGGAAAATATGGATAAGAAAATCCATGATAAAATACAGACTAGTGTAAGTATATATGTTCCATATCAACGAGACAGAGATCACCCTCAAGAAATACAAGAAACAATAGAAAAAACTTCTGTTTCAAATATCGCAAAATTTGGTGAATTCAGTCGCTCTTTAGAAAAACTACTTCAAGAAGCATCTGCAGCTTCATGTCCAATCTCCAAAGATTTATATCAGCAAGAAGAATTTGAGGATCATACATTATCCTCAGAAAAAGAGACTCTATTCATGACAAGGTCACAGCCATACAATGCCCTATGTAGCTATGACACACAAATGAAGACAGTTCTTAAAGAGGGAGCTCCAGAAAAATATGTCAAAGCCTCAGTTAAGGATCTTGCAGTAAGTGAAACTGAAGCTTCTGGTCTTGAAAGAGAGGGAGCTATTAATAAAATACGAGAGAGAAACATGGTTCCAGTTGATCTTCATCCCTTGGAAGGCAAGACGAATATGGTTGCAGTCAAACCATTTGAGATAAATGCTAAAGGGATGAATGAAAGCACATTCTTGGAGGCTTCTGAACAGAATTCAGAATTTCAAGCACTCGTGAATTTCAGAAGAACAAGTACACCACTTAAAGATGAGAGCAGCTCTCTCCAGCCAGAAGAAGCTCAGTTCTGCCTAATGTCTCACCATGATGATAACAATGAAGAGGAAGGCAACAATTTAAATTTGGGATCCAAGTTTTCAGATGAAAACTCTGATTCCCGCTCTGGAACAGGAAGTTCAGCTCGTGAGCTATCTGATTTCTGAAATTCATGGTGCTGAGTTAAACATGGCTCCAATAATTTTTTTTGTATCCAGCTTGAAATATATTAATTGAAAGTCTATGTGATACTTTCTTAATTGAGAAATTTAGATATTTTCTTGGGAGGGGTGGGAAGAACTAATTAGGCTGTTTGATTGGAAAGTGTTTAACAGACACTACATTTGGGTAAGCCTTTTTTGGTAAGGATAGTTTAGCAGCATTAATCCACTTAGTCTTTGTGATTTACACTTTTCTTGTCCCATGTGACATTGCCTTGAAATTAATACATTTGTAACACTCAATCTAGTAATACCTTCAAATATACTGGATTAAAAGAAGAAAAAATATTGGTGGCTCACTGGTTTCATTCTTTAGTTTGACTGGCTAGTCTCTGAAGATAAATGCTTATCAGTGGAATATCTGGATATATGGATAATACCAATACTTTGCTATTTCATTTAGCATTGCTGCCTGTTGCACAGAAAAATGGCCATATAAATGAAAATGGCCATATAAATGAAGTGTCCATTTATTAGGATTCACATTATTTGGTTGAATGGCAGTTCTAGTTAATGTGTAGTGTACGATAGTCATCAAAGACCTTAAGGTAGAGGAGATAATTTAACCTTTTTAGTCTCGTACTGAGAAACTGGGAATATTTTCTTCTCCTGGAGAATCTGAGAAATACATGAAGTTCCCAGGGCCTGCCAACTTACATCCAAGCCTGTTTGGAAAGTGGTTTTCCAGAGAGAGTCAGTGAAAACTCAAGATAAGTGAGGAAAAATCAGATGTAATTTTGTTTCACCCATAATTACAGGCAGCATCACTGTGATTGGTTGGTGGAGGGAGAGGAAAGTGAGATAGGGCAGAGGGAAAGTCTGAAAGATTTCTGAAAGAGCTGTCTTGATTCTGCTTTTGGAGACAATTGCATAACTTCAGGATTCCAAATACATCCACACACCTCGTTTTTTGTGGGGTTTCTTTGTTTTGTTTGTTTATTGGTGCTTTTTTTTGGAGGTGTGTGTGGGGAATTGGTGTTCGGTTTTTTTGTAGTTTTGCTCAGTTGGTTTTGTTTGGTTTTGTTTTTTGTTGGGGTTTTTTGGTTACTCAAGCATTGAAACAAAATTACATTCATTGTGGAAAGACTACAACAGAAAAATTTGCACCAAGGGAGAAAAGGAAAATTTTCTTTTGTGCTGATTCCTGAGAAGATGGTTACAAAATGGCTGCAATCTGAGTTTATCCTATATTAATCTTAACCAATTGAGTGCAATAATTGCCCCAAATGCTGTTATTAGTCAGTAAAGATAGACCTATAGCTACACAAGGCAAATCACTTGTCTGTCAAATCACTTGTCAGACTTGTCTGTCTCCCCTGATGACTGGGGGTGTTTAGAGAGAACAAATGGACGCTTAAAATTTGATGTTTATTTTATTTTGGATTTATCTTTTATTTTAATTGAATGTTCATTATCTTTGCTAACTGTGAAAATAGATTCTAATGAGAAGCCTATGGTTGGTTCTTCATTGACTTGCTTAATGTGTCCTGCCTGTGTGTGCAGTGTTCATGTGCTTTGTCTCGTAACAGGTTCTGAAGAAGAATTAAACCCTGTTTTGATGGCTTTGAAAAGGAGTGCAGATAGGAAAAAGCCTTCCAAAAGTCTAGAGGACATTCCATCAGCCACCTCAAGTGAGCACAAAGCTTGTGTGTATCTGCCATGGTCCCCAGTTTGGCTTAAATGTGTTCATGCTGGTCTTCCATACACCCCTGCCATGTCGTGGCTTTGTTTTTGTTTCTCAATAAGCTGTATGGAGGTTATACTTTGGAGGTTATTCTTTTCTCATATGGTTTAATTTTCAGTTCTTGGTGTTAATTTTGGAACAAGGCTGGTCTGTGAAGCAGACATCTTCCAGGAGTGCACTGTGTTGAGCAGTGATTAACTGTTTCCTGGATAGTTTTTCAATTGTGAAAGTATTGGCAATTACCCAAACCAGTAATGAGCAGCTACTGTCATTGCCTCCTGGTTGCTGGCTTGGGTCAAATAAGTAGACAGTGAAAGCATGAAAACTCAGGTTAATAATGGTTCACCTGTGTATTCTAGCAGTAAATATATCAACCTCACTTTAAGACAATACAGTGAGATAATATTATACGTAAAATGAATTCCCAGCTTCCCTCAGTATCCACCTTGGATTCCTTGGTTTTTTAAAAATTATTATTCCTGTCTCACTTCACCCTGCCCTGAGTGCTTTCATGCTTATCTCATGTCTAATGGGGAAGACACAGACTGAACTTACATTTGTGAACTGAAGCATGGAAATGTAGAATTTTTAAAGATATTAGCAAGTTGTTCTTCTAATACTACTTAGGCTACTGCTTGCTTCTAACCAGTTTCTAGGTTTTAAGTGTGCACTAACATTGTTGCAACAATATGCTGATAGAAACTATGTCACCATGAGACCCCTGCTTGGATGTAGGCTTTGAGGTAGAATGTCAAGTAAAAGCCTCTTGAATTTAACCCTTCCCATGGCTCTGCTGGTTTGTCTGTGGTTTAGGTCCTCATTACTCTTTATTTTGTTAATATCACTGCCATCCATTTTATACTGAATAACGACGTTTCTAACTGTGCTATTTTTCCTGAACAGATAAAGAAAAAATAAATAAACCAAAGGAAGAATTAGTTCTTAGTGCTGAAGATGGTAAATATAATTTGTTTCTGCATGGAAGTTTGTTGCTTTTTCAATGGCCTCTGTTTGCTAGTGAATTTTTTTTTTTTTTTTTTTTTTTTTAACCAAGAGTTATGTTGTGGTTTTAGATTTGGTTAACCTCAGCATGGCTGGAAAGCTTTTGTAGAATTCTGTGGTGTTTATTCTTAAGGAATCTATTTGTGTCCTCCTGTATCTGTAGAAACTGTGCCACTTACCAGTGTATTCTTTTGGCCTTCAGTCATTCAGCCTATGAGCTACTGAAATCATAGGGAGCTTTGAACACAAGCTCAGTTGAAAGAAATTTGCCTCAGTAAATATTCAATTTTTCTGTTTATCCATTGCATTGTAAGATCCAAGATGACTTTTGCTAGTGCAAGACACCTTTCAGAATACCTCAATTGGAAAGGAACCTCTCTTAATATCCCTGCCTTAGTCCTATAAAGTACCATTATTGTAAGCAATAGATGAACTTCTAGATCAGCCACTGCTGATATCATCAGTCCATTAGTGAATTATAGATGCCTTGCAGTTAATTTTTTCTATATACCCTTAGAAATTCCAAATCTAAGAAAAATAAAAAGCAAACCTGCTCCGACAATGTGTCAAAATAAACAGAATTGAAAACTATCAAATAATATTGAATATAGTGGAATATAGCACACAATTCTTTATTTACTGCATTGGAGCACTACAGTTTTAAAAGAACAGTTGTGTGCAGTTGTATTTTTTATTTCATGGTTTAGATGCTTTAAAGCATTGTGCATGCCAGTGGCCCATAGTAGCAATAGGATAATCATAGCATATTAGAATATCTACAATACCCAGTAAAGTAACAAGACTTAAGCACCATCCTGCACTCTGCTTTCACCTGGAGACCCCTACTGAAAGCCTGTTTTGGCATTCAGTGTGAATGTTTACAGACTAATCTGAAAAGAGCAGAGGGAATTTGAGTTTAATTTGTTAAGACTGAAGTTATGAAAAATGACACAGAGCAAATTGATGGCTGTACAGGCAGAATAAGGCAAGTTCTCTTGAAAAGTTCTTTTGGAACAGCAAAAAGACTGATTTTTTTAGCTTGTACACTTATATTACACTCATTTTTCTCATGATCCAGCTCCTCAAAGGAGAACAGCAATGCAAAACACAGACACAGAATCATAGAATTGTTTAAGTTGGAGAAAACCTTTAGGATCATCAAATGCAACCTTTAACCCAGCATGGGCAAATTCACCACTGAGCTGTGTCCCTAAGTCTGAATTTATGTTTGCATAAGCAGAAAGGCTCCATAATGCACCAAAATCAAAAAGACCTAATGCCCACACAGGCCTAATATCTAAGCCACTACTAACTATTGGAAGGAAAAAACCCACAATGTTCATGTGGTCTGGGGAAGTAAAAAAACCCCAAACCACCAAAAAACCAGAAAAATCCCACATATAAAGTATATTGATGTTATTTATAACCTTTCAAAACTGTGCTGCTGAATGACTGCTAATACTGCACTGAGCAGGTCCGAAACCTGATCAGCATCAAGAGAGGACTGAAAATGCATCAGAAAGTGAGTAATAGGATTCTTCCAGCAGATACTGGAGAGGCTTTTCCTCTGACAGCTGAACTAATACACTAACAATACTTTTTCATTTAACAAGTTACACATCTGGGCTAGATACTTGCTCTAAGTACTGCATCTGATTGCATACTAACAATAACTGATCTGTTAAGCATTGGTTGAGTTTTGACATCAAAAGCTTTGCAAAAGTTTCACTCACCTTGCAAACAATCCCAAGTGTGTACAGTGTTTCATTTTATGCAATAAAGATGTGCTTCTGTAGGTAGCTGTTTGTTGCCATATAATTTTCTGTCACATCACATTGATGCATCTCACAATGTTATCCAATTCATATTTGTATATTATTAAATATAAGTGGGGCTAGAGCATGAAAAATTCTGAGGATCATGAGCTTACTGCAAACTGGATTTTTGCAAGTCTAGCTTGTGCAATTAGGTTTTGTACAGTGAAAGAGCACAGAAGTGAGCTGCAGTAGAGGTATGCAAGTGTGGAAGAGAGTACAAAAAAGTGCATCATTAATAAGATATGCATCTTATAATTAAGTAGGAATACTGGCAACTTCCTTGGCCAGATCTAGAATTTGCTTGATTTACGGAAATTTGCCTATTGCAGTTAAATAGACTGAGTAAACTAGAACAAAGTTTGGCTTCTTACTAAGAATATGATGATAATTCTAATGTCAGTGATGATATTGTTAGTGTACAAGTGTGCTTATTCTTGTTCTAGGAGGAAAATCTAGAAGGTAATCTGCAATGTTTTCTTCATCACTTTTGATCAGAATTTGCTTGTAGTGCCCAACCTACCTCATATCAAGCAACATTTCTGGTCCTGTCAAAGTTTGTTGGTCACTGTTACAGACAATGCCAAAGTAGATTATTCTTCCTAATTACAGCTTCTCTGAGTCCTATGGGGGGAAAAAGCCCCTTGCATCCAAGGTGGTTGTGCATGTGCATGGATTTCATCCAAAGTGGTTTGCTTCTGTGTCCTGTTATGGAATCTCACTGTTCTGATGTACAAACTTGTTTTTGAAGCCTTTTGAATTACTGCTTTTCAGTTTCCACAGTGACTTCACAGCCTGATAAACCATTTTCCAACCCTGAAAAACTCAAGGGACTGAGCAAGTCGGTACCATCATTCTTACAGGAAGAGGTAAGCTCCATCTCTGAAATGTTATTGTTATAGATACCATTAACTCTGCAAGTAAAATTTCAGAACTCCCAACAACATGCCATGCTTGATTATTGTTGTTATCATCATTATGGTGTGAACCTTGGAATAAGCTCTGAGGCCATATTCTAATCTCCTAAAATGACATTGAAGTTTGAACTGTCATGCCTATGATGTCTATGATTCTCTATCAGAAGAATTACAGAATGGTTTGGTTTGGAAAGGACCTTAAAAGACTGTCCAGTTCCAACCCCCCTGCCATGGGCAGGGATGCATTTCACTAGACTAGGTTGCTCAGGGCTCCTTCCAACCTGGCCTTGAACACTTCCAGGGGTGAGGACAGCCACAGCTTCTCTGGGGAACCAGTGCCAGTGCCTCACCACCCTTGCAATGAAAAACTTCTTCCTAGTATCTTATCTAAACCTATCATCAGTATCTTATCTAAACCATCTGAACAGAGAAAAAATCCTGGTCTGCTTTTACTTAACAGAATAGACATAACTAGATTTTATAAGCAAATTGAAAAGGTCTTTATATGCTAAATGTTTATTTATATAAATAACTATTTTCTTAATATGCGTGGAAACTGTTGTTTACTAATCTTGTATCTGTTATGAGAAGATCTATGACATCAGTTCAGAACTGTTTGAAGGAGCGGGGAGACCTTGTAAATTGTTCCTAGGTGGAATACAACAGGAAGATGAAGTTGACTGTAACAGCTTGAGTAGGAAGACACATGTGGGAAGGGGAATCAATTCTTTAGTACAGAAGTAATACTGAGAAAGAATGGGGTTGTGAGTACATAACCTGATAATGACCAAGGAAACAAAAGCTGCAATTCCCTCGTGGAAAAGCAAAGCCCTGCTTCCCTCTTGCCAGAAAGACTTTGCAAAAACCATTCACTGTATCCAGTGCTGTTCTCTGAATGTTGCCTACTGGCCAGCTGCCCTTTAGAGAGAGGCACAGAGCTGACAGCATTTACTATATAACAGAAAGGACTGCTAAAGGAACTGAGCATTAACAATTGCATAGGCTATGCATAAGACAGTGACACAGAGAAGTTGAGTTAAATTGTCCCAATAAACTTAATTTTGTAATTTTTCTTTGCTACTTGAGATCTAAAACATACAAACAAACCCCCAAATCTAGTTGCATTGCTGCTTAAAAAAATTATCAGTGTAGGGTGTTCATCAGAAAAACTCCCTTTCAACTTTAAATGCATGACCTAATTCTAGAAATATTATTCATGTTGCACTACAAGGGAATTTAAATTCAGACGTCCACTGAGTCTCAACCTGCATTAAAATTCTGTTTGTTTGTTTGTTTTATAATTTTCCTTCTGACTATAAAGAACACACACAGACTTTTTTTCTGTGATGTTTTTGTAGAGTGATGACAGAGAGACAGATACAACATCAGAAAGCAGTTATTCCTTTGGCAGAATCAAGAAGAGTCCCAGCTCTCTAACCAATCTTAGCAGCTCTTCTGGCATGGCCTCCTTATCCTCTGTATGTAAACCAAAGCATTATTTTAAAGGCACTTTTCTTTTGCTAATTTCTCCAATATTGTTTTGGCTCTTTTCTCATTCATTGTATCTTTCTTCCCTTGTCATCTCTGTCTCCTTCTTTCCATTTCTGTTATATGAACATAACATAGTTCCTTGCATGGAATTGCCTGAAGCAAGTAAAGTAAAATTAAATAGATTTCAATTTTTTTTCCCTAGTAATATATTGGAGCTTGTTCAGGGCTCTGAACAAAGATATGGATTTTACCCTCAGAGCTTACATTTGTAGCTGAAAATGAGGAACAATTCGCAAAGAACAAACATTTAGAAAGGGAGAAAGGGGAGAAAGATAAGTCAAAGTGGGAGATATTGGTATATCAGGTGTGTAGTTGAATCAACTAGCTAACCAAAAGTCATTGGTTTATGTGGACTTTGAGTAAGAAAAACAGAATTTTGGGGAAGGATATTGAGATGAAAAATATATATATACAGACACATCTTTCTTCTTCTCTGTATTTAGTATTTAATTTTCAGTGGTTTATTTAGTTACATATTTATGTACATAATTCAGCCATATAGACTTTATCTCTTAAACTTTTTGTTAGTATTTTAAGAAGGTCTGTTGTCTAAACTCTTAGGCTCTGCTTGCTGCAAAGAAGATGAGCTGAGGAGATGTAGAAATAATATTTCAAGGATCTGCACACAGGCAATCTTCATATCTACAGCATCCTATAATTTAATTTCTTCTATCTCAATGCAGTAAACCCATTCAATTTTTTTTTTGGTATGAATTCTGGCCAAACACCTTTGATTTCCAATATCTTTCTTTCATTAATCTGCTTGCTGAGAAGCTTGTATAATAGTGTCCATTACATTTTATCTAAAGAGTTGCAGTTGATTCCTTTACTGTCTGAATCCTGAGCACAACTTCCCTGATCCTGAAGTACCTGGTGAAATGCAATGTCTGGAAAATATTTCTCCTCTTGTACACTGCAGGTGAGTGGCAGCCTAATGAGCATCTACAGTGCAGACTTTGGCAATGTGGATGTGAAGGGGAACATTCAGTTTGCCATTGATTATGTGGAGCAGCTGAACGAGCTCCACATCTTTATTTGCCAGTGTAAAGACCTGGCAGTGGCAGATATTAAGCGACAGCGTTCAGACCCGTAAGTACAAAGAATGCATTTATTTTCTATGGAAGTTTTTCTTTTAATGTGGAAATGAAAACTGCTGGGGTTTTCCAGTCTCTCTAACCTGCTAGAGTAAAGCTCCCAAGAAGTAGATGAAGAGGCTGCAATGTGCTTTGTGAGTTTTTTTTTTTTTGCTTTGATTGAGTATAGAATTGCCCTCATAAATTGGTGTGTGTATATGTATTAACATAGGAAATTAAAACTTTTAAGAATATTAAATTATCTTTTGAAATACACTTTTCAGATGGTAAATACCACTTTGATATGTTTTCAGTAGGATTAGAACCTATAAATATGACATTTGGCCCTGCCACAGGTATATATTCTGTATTTTCATGTGCTGAGGAGACATTTCAACAGATTTTTCCCTGGAGAAGGATATTATAAGAAAGTGATGATTTTATACATCATCACTGCTGTTGTAATTCTTAAATATGCAAGCTGAATGCCTACTCAAGTGGATTTCTTTTCTTTATGAGCAACTACTTGTGTATTTTGGAAGATGAAGTTGGAGAGGGTCTGGATTTTTTAGGTTTTTGGGGATTTTTTCACTCTTCTAACAATCCTGTCTAAATTTTAGGTATGTAAAGACCTACCTGCTTCCAGAGAAATACAGACTGGGCAAACGGAAGACATCTATCAAAAAGAAAACTTTTAATCCAGTCTACAATGAAATACTGCGGGTATTTATCAAACTATTACTAGATATAATATACTGTATGTGTGATGTGTGAGGAACCTCAGCTTTTGGGCACATTGCACTCAAAAGGGACATGAGCATGAGAGAGATTGCTCTGCAGAGCTGGCTGTGTGCTTCCATTAATAGGTTAACTCTGCAGTGGTCTCTGGATCCAGCACTGAGAACACTGGTGGTTTTATACTTCTTGTAAACAAACACAAGCCATGTATGAGCTTAAGCTGTTAGAAATAAAAAGGAAATAGTTGGGTTTTATTGTATCTGTTTACTTTCTGAAATGCAGAAGTGGGCAGTTATGGACAAGTAAAAGACACTTTTTTTCTAACCATGTTGCTTTCTGACACAGCATTGGTAAAATTCATCTTGTTTTAATTCTTTTTTTTCTTACTTCTTCCTGGCAGTATAAAATTGAGAAGGAGCTCCTAAAGAATCAAAGCCTCAATATCTCTGTCTGGCACAATGATACCTTTGGTAGGAATAGCTTCCTTGGTGAAGTGGAGTTGGATTTAGGAGCTTGGGACTGGAATGATCCATCCAATAAGCAGATCAACTGGTTTCCTCTCAAGCCAAGGGTAAGTTGGCTGTATTGCATTTTCTGCTGTGCAAGTACAAAACCAAATTGTTATTTAGGCTTGTTCTTGTGTGTTCTGTGGGTTTTGTGCTGATTATAATCACAAATACTTATACACTGGTAAACAGAAATACAGTTCTGAGATGTCTTGTAGTCTAGCTAGCTATTACAGTAGGATAAGCTTTCTCACAGTCTAAGGAATAGGAATTTCAAAATATTTCTCATTGTTATATTGCTGCAACCAATATCTGAAAGCACTTGTTAACCAAATATGGAATAAACCTGCTGAGGATGTGGAGCAAGTGCAGCACCATTTTAAATTCAGATGTTTGGTTTCATTTTTTTTCATTTCAGACTTCAGCAATAACACTTAATCTAGAAAACAGAGGGGAGATGAAACTAGCCCTCCAGTATGTCCCACATCCAATTGGAGGTAAGCATTGCTGCTTTGCTTAGGCTTGTCAAGCCTTTGGTGTTTCTGTCCTTTTTTTTTTTTTTAAATTAAAAAGAAAATGTCCTCACTTAATGTTTGTCATTCACTTCAGACAGCTTCTGTTTTCTTCCTAGAGGAGTAAGTCACTCTGATTTTGAATACAGTTTAGAACCCCAAAGACCATTTTGAGATCTTTTGTTGTTTTTAATGTTACTGATGAAGAAATTGCCTCATTCTCATAATCTAAGATTTGTAATGCAATATCTACGTGTAACAAAATTGTTTTCTCAATAATTTTAGGGATTATAAATCAGGCAGATGCTGTGATGTGCTAAGCAATGACAACACACTGAATTTCAAGCAATACTAGGTGTAGGAAGTAGCAGCAAGTATTTAGAAAGCAGAAATTTATAGAAGTCTGATCAGTTTGGTTTAATCTTGTCTGGCAGCAGATAGTGGACCAATCTGAGAGTGAAGCCAGGTCAGGTCTTTAATCCAGACAGACAGTCAGTAAGAGCCAAATATATTAAGAACATAAAAGAGCTTATTTGAAAGTACAAGCAACAATAAATGCTAACATCACATAAAGTGATGACAAGCTGATCTGTTTATCTAGGAGTCTTGGGAAGAGAAGACCAGTGGCATGTATTTCCTTAGCTGTAACAGAAGAAAAGTCGTTGTAGGAGTGCAGACATGATGTGATCTTGCAGTACTTTGATGGGATGAAGATTTCAACTTCCAGAGTACAGAGAGCAATGTTGAATTAAGATGTGAGATAACAAATGCAGGCTGAATATCACCTCTGCAAATGGGCAAGAACTGCTGCATCAGACAAAATACCTTTAAAAGCTATCTGCTTAAGCAGATGTTTTGTTTTATTTTGTTTTCTACAGGAAAGAAGACTCTATCTACTGGTGAGGTCCACATCTGGGTGAAGGAATGCCACAACCTCCCTCTTCTGAGAGGCAATAGGCTCAACTCTTTTATTAAATGGTAAGAATTGTGGTTGAAGTCATCAAACATGGTGGCCTAATAATGCTGCCATTGTGCTTTCCAGTTGTATCTTCTTTTTCTACATTCATATTAAAAGAACACTGAATTGCTTTCTGATTCTCCTTTATTGTAGTGCATATTGTCCTGCATAGTTTACAGGTTCCAGATGCTATGTACCACCAAGTAAAACTTACTGTGTCATTATTACACTTTGGTTTTGTCTCTCAGTCACTTGGTGGAAGGACTAGTCAAAGTGTTCTGGCTTTTATTCACATTTAAGCAAAACATGTTTGTGCAAAACATGGTTTAGCTTAGCAAATTTTGGGAGGAGACAGAAGAGTGAAATAGTGTAACAGTGTGAATGTATAGTTGGATTTCTTCCCCCTTCCTTTCCACACACAGACTAAAAATGTGGAGACAAGAATAACAAGATGGTTGGGGAAATCTCTGGCAGCAACAAAATGTTTCAGTGTCATCAGTGATAACACAGCAAATAAACTCACTTGTGCCTCTTCCCAACCTGCTTGCCCTTCCATCCTCTGAAGCACAAGGGTGGATACCTGCTGCCGGTATTTCCTGCAAGGGACTGTGAGACTATGACATCACTCCATCTCTGTAAAGCACTGTGTCTTCAGTTCTATTTTAACATGCAAAACAAAGTTAATCAGAAGCTTTTGCCTTTTCAGTATGTTTAACACAGGCTGTGCTGTGCAAGTGCAAACTGACAGTGCTTTTTCTCTCTGAAGTACCATTCTTCCAGACACCAGCAGAAAAAGTCGCCAGAAAACAAGGACAGTTTCAAAAACTACAAACCCGGTGTTCAACCACACCATGGTCTATGATGGCTTTAGACCAGAAGATTTGAAAGAAGCCTGCATAGAACTCACAGTCTGGGATCACAACAAACTAGCAAACCACTTTCTGGGAGGCCTCCGGATAGGCCTTGGAACAGGTACTGGACAATCACCACATTAATACTTAATTTACAGAGTAGTCTTTCCTTTTTTTTTCCCTTTTCCATTTCTTCTCTTTCAGTCTTTCTTTTCTCTTGAACAGTTTCATTTAGTAACGTACCTATTCTTCAAAACAGATCCTGAAATGTAAATAATAGTCGTGTTAGGAGGGTTAGGATGACTGGCCAGGAGAAATATTAGAAACAAACCTTTGGCCATACATTGTATCTGGTACTGCTTAAAGTACAAGAATATGGTATTCCTGCACCTGAAATCTGATAACGTCTTGCAAACTTACTCATGCAAAAAAAAAAATAGTGTAAAGACAGCAGTGGGTGGAAATAAAAGGATAGAACAGGAATGTAGGATAAGATTGGAAGATACTGAATAGGAAAAATTATAAATGCAAACAAATCTTTAGCATAAGGGCAATATATGATGTGCAGATACAGCAACAGAAAAAGGATAGAACAGGAATGTAGGATAAGATTGGAAGATATTTGAATAGGAAAATTATAAATGAAACAAGTCTTTAGCGTAAGGGCAATATATGATGTGCAGATATAGCAACAGGAAAAGCATACAATTCTTCTATTTGTCACTTTTATTCTGCTCTCTGATCTGAGAGGAGGATGTGCTTGGAGTCTTATCAAGAAATGCAACGTACAAGCTACTTTTCACAAATTAATTTCTTGCATGGCTCACCAGAATAACCTAAATTACAAATTAGAATAATAAATATTAATTTCAATTTTAAGTACCCAAGGTTGCATTTCAGTACAAAATCAGTACTCTGTTTTATTGTTAAACCTTCTCAGATGTATGGGCAATTGGCATCTTTTTCCTTGGGATTGTGACAAAAAGACCAAGGATACAAAAGGAAAAAATCTGGACAAAGATGACAAAATTTGTGTGAAACAGTTGTTAATTGAATTTGACATAATTGCTCAAGAGCCAAAATGTAGACAAAATTTGTGTGAAACAGTTGTTAATTGAATTTGACATAATACTCAAGAGCAAAAATGTGGAACTGGGTTTCAAAAGCACTACATCAGCTACTTGAGGAGGTGTAACCATTTTAGAGCAGGCAAATTTGATTGTCTGTGCTTAACTCTGCAGCAGATTAAGTAATTTTTCTCTTAAAACTGACATTTTCCTAGGCAAAAGCTATGGAACTACAGTAGATTGGATGGATTCTACTTCAGAAGAAACTGCCCTTTGGGAGAAGATGATGAACTCTCCAAACACGTGGATAGAAGATACACTACCTCTCAGGATGCTTATGGTGGCAAAATTGACAAAATAAGGTGGATTTTATTTGTTAGTATCAAAAAGAAACCTTGGGAATTAAGTTGAAAGCATGGGGGTGGAACTTGGAAAAGGAACACATTAGTAGCTTTTTTGACAGTTTCTGCTCTGTTACTGTTCTGGTTTTGTGCTGTCAAATGCCACTTTGTATTTCAAACATCTGCTTGCTGATCGTTATGTAAATTGTAGGGATTTTTAAATTTCTTATTCACTGAAAACAACTTCAAGAAAGAAGGTGCTTACAGAAATCAGTGTTAGAGGTAGCTGTGATACCTGGATTACTATGTTGTCTAACTGAAACATTTCTGATCCCTTAAATTATCCCAATAACCAGCAGAAATATAAGAGCAAGTCAACTGTTTCTGTACATTGCTTGGATTGTTCTTGAAGTCTTACTGGTAAGACAGCAACATTAGTGTTAAAGTTCATTGGTATGTATTTGTATCCTCATTATGCCATGTTAGATCTCACCAGCATGGAACATGGGCATGAAGAATTTAGATTTTTGAAAGCTCCTCTAGTTGTAATAGTACATTTCTAGGACATGAAAGTTACTTCCCCAATGAAAGAAGCATGTCATGAAGTGTCACTGTTGACGTCCTATTCTACAAGGTGAAGAGGAATTAGTTCCAATGTACTGTAAAAAATCAGGGTTATAAAAGGTTTGCTTTATACATGTGTTAATCATCTTGCTAGCATAAAATACTTAGTCTTAAGTGCTGAAGATGTGAAGGTGAAACTTTTTTTATTCCAGTGCTACTCCAAAGGATCTAAATGTGCCAGTTTTAGTGATGGCAAGGATGTTGGGTATTTATCCTCCAAAGTGCACTTGTTTGTACCTGTATCCATTAGTTTGGGTTTTTTTGCAAGAAGTGAACTTACCTGTGCTTCAGTGCCGCCGTTAGGAGACTGGGAGGACTGTGGTGGGCTTTGCTTAGTTTTGAGGCATAGGAAATAAGACTGGAGTTTTTAACTTGTAGAAATGCATGCTACTGGTAGATAAATACGTGAAATACAAAATATATTCCTTTTGTTTCCTTTTTTTTTAATAAATGCAGCCTATTTAAACTAAATAGGAATTCAGTTTTTATTAAATTCCAGTGGTTTATGTTAGCCATTCAGCATGCAATATAACAAAATGCAGACAGAAAACATTTTTGAAAATAAATGCACAGTTATTTACTCCAGCTAAGTCTAAAAGCTGGTGAAATCTTTCACTAAAGTTAGAGTAGAGGGGAGAAGGGAGCTCTTCACAGCTCTAATGCAATTGCTTGATTTAATAACAGAAATTTAAATGTTACTTGGTATTTATTATACACTATGAATGGAAAAAAAGGAAAGAGGCTCTTCAGCCTTCCAGGGAACCCACTATCTCTCTCATCAGCCAGGCAGTCTGTGGAGTTTAAAAGTGTCAAAAGCAGTTTGCCAGTCTTTGATATTTTCCTGCTTCAGGTGTTTTGTATGAGATTGGTAACTGCTACAGCTTCCACTCTGCCAGACATATACAAAACACTTTTTGTGTGCACACGACACTTCAGAACAATGATTTTTTACCAAAGTGGTACAGCTGCTACTTTGATTCTACATTCTTGAAGAGTCACTACAGAAAGGATGGTTATTCTGAAAGAGGCACCTAACTTATTTGTATTTGCTCCCTATATGAATAAATTTTGCATCTGAAAACATAGGTTGCTGTGAACATGACCTACAGTTTTACAGAATTATTGGTTCTGTTGCAGTTTTATCTCCTGTGAAGCTCAAATATATTGCTTCAGCTTTGTATTACAAATCAGCTTTAGGTTCAATTGTAGAGATGGGGTCTTAAGGCTCCACATTTGCAGGGCTTGCCTGGGTCTTGCCTCCAAATTTGCAGGACCCTCAAAGTCAGCAACTGACTCAGAATTCACTATTGAGGGGCTGCTCAATAGTGGGCCACAAGTGTCATGTAATCTGCTGTCTTCTATACTCTACAAATTTTTTATACCTAAGCTTCACTGCTACCAAAATAAAATGTTGAGTTTGTCACAGTGACAGTCTCCTTGTCTTCTGATCAAGTAGAAGACATTCTGTGTCTTGCTGTTCTTTTAGTCCTCCTAGAGACTGACACAGAATTTTTCTGGTATCTCAAAAGACTCTGCCTATCACCTTACTAATAGACCAATCCTCAAATTTTGAAAAGCTACCTGAACTTGAATGGAAGATTTACTTGCATGTTGCACTTGTAATTAACTACTTTGATTAACTAATGACATAGGGATACTATGTACGCATCTAGGTTAACCAAGAAACTGAGGCAAAGAACAAAACCTGTCCCTTAAGTACAAAACTTCCTCCCCAGTATTCAATACCTTTCTTTTCATTGTGTACAGACTCCCTAACTTCAGCAGTATGATAATATGCTGATAGAGAAATGTGAGTTGGGAACTTGATTGAGACAAAAAGTTTCAAGAAACTGCTTACTTTGTTCTCAAGGCAAAGGGAAAGCCTTTAGTCATCCATAACCAAAATTTTAAAGGTGCATAATTCGCTACTCATTAAAGGGCAGTTTGATAAATTAATAGCTATGCTTTGTCATAAAGGTGAACTGGAATTAAGAATCAAAGCAGCCACACTTCTAAAATATCTTTATGTATATTCATTCTTGTCTAGAGAAACACACAAGTTCCTTCCTCTTCTCCTTCATGTTACAAGTTCATCTTTATTTAGGCCATGATTTATTTTTCTTTTTAGCACATATGTGCGTATATGCATATATACACATGTGTGTATATCTTCTAAATTACACTGTTTTCATTTGCTATAAACCAGGCTTCAAAGTCCTAGCTCTCCTTTTGTGCTCTGTGTTCAGAAACCTCCCATTGCTGCAAGTAAGACTGCAAACCTGAGTTGGTGCAGCAACTCTCATTGCTTTGGTTTCACCCATTTTGAAACCTGTCCTGTGCCTTCCTTCTCTAGTGTGCTTCATGTCTGCAACCCACAGCACTCTCTTCTTTCTCCTTTTTATCCCTTTCCAGAGGATTCAGCCAAACCTGCACTGACTTTTTTCTTCCAGTTGGATTTATTTTTCCCTTCCCTATCCTGTTGGCCAGATTTTTATTAGCTGCTAAATAAAGTTGCAAGCTGTTCAGGGCAAGGTCTGTCTTTACTTTCCATGGACCTTCAGTGTGTTCTGAGGTCAGAGCCTGCTATTCTGATTCTGGCATGTGCAGGATGTAAGCTGAGAACGAGGAGTTCTTCAAGCTTGTGGAAATTCTCTTTCCTTTCCAAATCTGGGTGCTTTTGAGAGTGTCAGCAATATTTGTTTGCTAAGAAACACTGCCAGCTCTTTCAGCCACCCTGGTGGGACTGGCCTGGCTCCAAGCAGCCTGGATGAGGTCATGAGCTCTGGAGTGACTGGATTCAGCATCTTACCTCTATGGAAACAGAACCTCACAATAGGAGAGACAACAAACAGACATCAGGAAGGAAATACCTGGTAAGAAAATAGTTTTCTCTCCTTAAACCCTGCTCTTCATTGTATTTCCACTGAATGGCCTAAACCTTTCAGTCCTTCCCCCTCTCCTCCATTTTTTGCAAAGGATCCAAGGTAGCAACAGCAGTGAGAGGGTGCAGGATGGTGGAGGCAGAGCTAGTGTCTGTACTGAAGTCACCACTACACAGCTGTGAAATTCTTTGTGTTTCACAGGTGTTTATTCATTTTTGTTGTATATTATCTTTCATCCTTTAAGCTGGCTCCTTCCCACATCCTATCTTTACCTCTAGTCAAAGCTCAGGAATTCACAAAACCTGATTATCAGTGTGCTGTTTCATGTGCTGTTTCAGGTCTGTGTCCAAATGCAAAACTTGTAGATGAGTTGTAGGCTAACTTTTCAAATGTCTCGATAGCATGTTGTGTGATTCAGCACCAATAATAATTTTGGTGCATATGCAATATAAACATTTTCCTTATTTTTAAATGAAGAAACAGATTTTTAAAATCACATGTCTAAATTAATCCAGCAGATCAGTGTGAAAACTCAGTTGAGGAACTGTTTCTCCAGGCACAGAGGCTTTGTATCACAGAGCATTCACTATTTATTAAGATTGTATAGATCTTTTACTTGATTCATAAATCTCTAAGAACAGGATAAGGCTATTCAGTTATTTTTAACTAGCAATGTACTATCATAGAGATATTGTAAATCAATTAAAAGTTTGACGTAACCCTCTGTGTTTTATTTGCAGTTACAATACAGAGCTGTAGGAGAAAATAAAGGCAGAAGAAAAGGATTGCATAAGGAGTTATTTACAGCTTTATCACTTACAGGCTTTTTACCTAAATATAATAGCAGTTCTTGTAGCTACAACAGCAGTGCCTCGAGAAGGAATAATTAGCTAAGCTAGTCATCAGCAAATGAATAGGTTTGCATAAATACTAAGCCCACACTCTTTGCTTTTGCTCATAGAGTCTGGCATCCTTGAGTCTCAGTGTGCCTGACTCTGAACCAGAGGAGGGGGAGGGCGGCAGGCTGGCTGACATTGGTTTTGGGAGGTCCTGTTCCCCCACATCAGTTTCTCTGGACTTCCAGAGAAACACCACCAGCTTATGGCAGCAGTGTTGGCCACACAACAACTGGGTGCTGTTTAATTATGCTGAGTGCCACTAACAGAACCAGCCACTATAAAATTTTATCTTGTCTTTGCATAAGATAGGTGCTCCATGCCTTAGGAGACAGGAGCAGGTATGGCCAATCCCACAGGTGATCTAGAGTCAGGCAAAGATGTGGAAGATCTGACAAAAAGCTTGGAGGAACTCCGTGAGAGCTCTAAGGAGCAGAGTGAGGAGGTGCTACTGCTTTCACACCTAGAACAGCATCATCATCTTGTCTCTATACTGAAGAGGAAAGTGAATGACACAGACAAATGCTGCAGATACCTGGAGCAGCTCAACATGGAGCTGGAGAAGCTGAGGGGAGAGGATGCTGTGAAAATTAAAACCCAGACCCAGGGTATTCAGTATTTGGTGGGGTGCTTCATGGATCTGGTCAAAAACCATGAAAAGATGATCCATTTCAAAAATGAACACAAAAAAAAGCACATGCAGCTGTGGGAGGAGAACAAGTGCCTGTGGCAGGACAGGGAAGCACTCTTCAGCCAGGCTGTGAGGGAGAAGGAAGCTGAAGTGCTCCAGCTGGCAGCCCAGGCCAGGAAGCTCTCACAGCAGTTATGCTCCTTGCAGGAGAAATATGCTTCTGAGAGGCACAGAGCCCAGGAGCGAGAGAAGGAGCTGCTGGAAGCTCAGAGCCAACAAGCAGATGCCTATGCCCAGGAAGTGGATTCACTGAAGAAGCAGCTGCAACTCCTATAGGAGAAGCACCAACAAGCTGCAGCAAGGGCTGAGCAGGCAGAGAGTCAGCAGAGGGCTCAGGGCAGTGAGCTTCAGGCCAAGCTGGAAAGGGCACATGAAGAGAAAGAGCAGCTACTGAACCTGGCCATGGAGAGCAGCAAAGCTCTGCAAGATAAGGAGCGGGAGATTGAGAAGCTGGAGGAGAAGCTAGAGACTGTGGAGGAAGGCATGCAGGGAGCAGGAAGGTGCCTCAAGAAGGAGGCAGCAGCAGTAGACAAAGAGCTGAAGGTTCAAGAGCTCCAAGGACAGCTAGAACACAGCAAACTGGCGTACAGTGAACTCCTGCTGCAGTTCAATGCTTACAGAAAGCACAGTATGGATTTACTACTAAAGAGAGAGCTCTGAATGTCAAACTCCGTCACTTTGTTGCATAACTGCATTTTTTTTCTCTGTTCTCCTCTCAACAGGTGCCTCTGTGGTAACAAACCCCTGAATTTTGTTCCTCTCCATGGGACCATCCTCTGGTTTCTTTATACTGTCCTCACCAGCTTAAACCCTCTTCCACTGACAGTTCTGCAGCCCTTTTGTCATTACGCCTTTCTGAAAGTAAATCACTACACTCTTAAATCTGAACATGGATCATTGAACTAGTCAAACCTGTGACATGAATGATTAGGGTGGAAAACAAAATATGAATTTGATTTATTTAGTGCTAACCTCTGCTGAATTATACGTTTGTTTGGTTGATTTTTTTTTTTTGTTAAAATAACTTTATTTTTCAAGATGACCAAAAGCTCAAACCCTTAGCCTTTTGTATTTGATTCTGCTTTGAAGTTCAACAGAGGCTCTGAGGCTCCAAGAAAGAAATCCTACCTTGCAATATCTCTGCAAGTCTCTAAATTCAGGAACTTAACAGGTAATCCAATAATATCATACAACAACTGATTCTCAAGCAAATTACTGTTTATAGTTTTCTAATAGTCTTACAGATTTCTGAAGTCATTTAAACCCTATTTAATGCCAGAGTAGTATTTATATCCCCATTCAGCTCAGAATAAATTGTCAAGTCTTTTGGATTATTTCAATCTGTTCTTTGGAATGGGACAATGTTCTAGATGTTCCACCAGGGTTTTTCTCCTGTTTTTATCTGTTTCCTGCAGATAAATATTAATGATACACTCTTCCATTTTGTGCATGTCTGGCAGCTTTTGACAATAAGAAAAATCTTTCCTGTCAGCACTGTGGGATCCAGAGACCTCCCACTCTCTCTTGCTGGTCTCCTAGGCAAGAAAGAAGATTTTTGCTGCTGAATTTCAGCTCCTCTTTTTAAGTCTCCAACAAAAAAAACCCAAACAACCCCCATAAGGGGCCAAACAGCATCCCCTAAATGGGCTGTAGGCAGCTGCCTCCAGTTCTTTGCCACATGCTTATGCCTGGAGATGACTCAATAATTTAGGAAATTGATTATTTCTTGGTCCTGAGTATCTATAAGCCACAGCACAGTATCAGAGTTATCTGTTGAGGCCATTTACAGAAGTGACTGGAAGCAGCAGGTCTGGAGGCCAGCGACCAGCTCGTCTCAAGGACTGGCTGAATCAGATGTGGTTTCTAACTCTGGTACAGGCTTCCCAGAGGAGCTGTGGATGACCCCACCCCTGGAAGTGTTCAGTGTGAGGTTGATAGGGCTCTGAGCAACCTGTGAAAGGTTTACCAGCTCAAGGCAGGCGGGTTGGAACTAGTGATTTTTAGGGTCCGTTTCAACCCAAACCATTTTGTGATTCTGACTACAAAGCAGCAGCTGCTAGCAGCCTTTCTTCTGAACTTCTCTGGACTGCCCTTGAACCCAGGCAAAGCCAGGTGAGAAGTATTGCTCTACTACCTGCTGTGTGATGAACCACAACATTTCTCCTGATCCTGGCTCCTACAAGTGTCATTCCACAGGTGTTTTATGGACCACATTCTCCTACTTTTTAACCATACTTCCCTGCTCTGAGGTGCCACCCCACACACACATTTCGTTAATCTCAGTGCTGGCAGCTACAGTGTAAACCCCAACTGACTCACGTTACATACAGGCTGTGCCCTTGGTCTGAGAGCTGGCTGCTCTGTTTGAATTAGTCCATTGGCAATGTGGAGCACCTGTATCCCTCTGCAAGGGACCCTGAGACCAGGTGTCTAAATACTCTAAATCTGGGCAGAGGACACTCGCTCGCTGGTGTGACAGAGCAGCCCCACAGGCCTCTGCCACAGCCATGGGCTGTGGTGGGAAAGACCCCACGTTCTGCACTCTTCAGGGACATCCCCCTTCCCACCCTTTGGCAACGGCTGAGTGTGAGAGACCTTCCCCCCTGCTGCCTCACACACAAACCCCTCGTCACTGCCCCCATTCCCTCCTTCCCTCCCCATCACTCACACTCGCCCCTCCTGCACACCCACATCCATTTCCTACACACCTCTCATCACCCAAACCACACACGTCTCCCCTCACACCCCCAGCCTCCCAGACCTGTCACCCTGCTGCCCACAAAAATCGGATTTGTTACCTGGTGTGCAACAAGCCAATAATTACACACGTGAGACATTTGTTTATTTCGGAGTTGCACAAACCTGGGTGCTCAGCGGTATTCCACAAATCAAACACTGACTATCAAAACTTTTTACTATTTATAGGTTTCAGCAAGCAAGGGAATTGGTGTTACAAGCTATCTAGTTCTTTTATTAATTGGTATTCTATCACTTGATGGTTCTCTCTTGCAAATTAGTTTGCATGCTCAAACTTTCTCTTTTTTTGGGGTCGGTGGTCCATGAGGTGGTAGATGGGATATCCCCCTGCTGGAACTATGTTTTACCCAGTCAGAACTGATTTAGCACAATTGCCCCATTGGGTTTATTAATTTATTCCTTATCGTGGGAGTTCTGCCCGATGTCCTTGTGGCCCGTAAATTCTGCATTCTTTGTGTCCACTATCAGCAGTACATCCTTCTTCCCTAGCTTTGTTACCCTCCCCCTAGCTCTGAGGTCATTGAAACACGTTGAGCCCTAAACCTTAAGAAGGCAATTCCAGTGACAATTCATTTGTCCTTCTAACACCTGGAGATCCCTTAGAGATTGTTGGCTGCTCGCTGTTTCATGGATCTCTCTTCTCGTTGTTTAGGTTTGAAAGTACACAAAGATCAAACGTCAAAGAACATCCTCTCTCAACAAAATCCTTACCTACTCCACGCTCAGTAACAGCTCCCCCCACCCCCTTCCCTCATTCCCAGACGCGGCTTTCCCGCGCGCGGGCGCAGTCGCGAGGCGCTTCCACCGCCCTCCCCCCGCGCCGCTTCCCGGCAGGCCCCGCGGCGGGAGCGCCGGGCCGCAGCCGAGCGCCGCCCGCTGCCCTCGGCCTCCGTTCCGTGCGCCGGGCCCTTCTCCCGCCGCTCCCGCCATGCGCCACAGCCTCACGCAGCTGCTGGCGGCCTCGGCCGGCGGGGCCAGCCCCTCGGGCGCCGTCTGGCCGCTGGCCGGAGCGGGGCAAGCCCCGAGAGGGCGGGATGGCGGCGGGGAAGGGGACCCGGGCCCCGCGCGGCCCAAACCGCAGCCGCCGCCGCGGCGGGAGCCCCCGGGCGCCTCGGAGCCGCGGCGGCAGGAGAAGGAGGCCGAGGCTCCCGGCGGCCCGCTGGAGGTGTGGGAGCAAGAGGACTGGTTCCCGGGGCTGGAGCTGGGAGACCTGCTGGAGGCGGCCCGGCCGGACTGGGACCTGGACGCGGAGCTGAGCGACTGCTTCTGTGGGGACCCGGAGCCGCTGCCCGCGCCGGGCAAGGGCCCGCGGCCGGCGGCGCCCGGGCGGAGGAGCGGCGGGGCCGGGAGTCGGCTGAAGGCGGCGGCGGCGGCGCGCTTGAACCGGCTGAAGAAGAAGCAGTACGTGCTGGGGCTGGAGAGCCGCCTGCAGGGCCTGGCTGCCGAGAACCGGCAGCTGCGGGACCGCAACCGCGGCCTGAGCCGCCGCCTGCGAGAGCTGGAGCGGGAGAGCAGCTACCTGCGGGCTGTGCTGGCGAACCAGAGCGCGCTGGGGCAGCTCTTGAGCCGCCTGGCCGGGACCCGCGCCGGCGGGCTGCAGCTCAGCACCAGCCTCTTCAGGGACACGGGCAGCCCCCGCCGCCAGCACCAGCATCTCCAGCCCGCCGGCGAGAGCAGCGACCACGACTACGCCCTGCCCAGCTCCCGGCCCCGCGGGCTGGAGGAGGAGGCGGCCGTGCCTGAGACGGAGGAGGAGTGGGCGGCCCCCGGCGGGATCTGCCTGCACGTGGACCGGGATCAGGTGTCGGTGGAGTTCTGCTCCATCTGTGCTCGGCGGGCAGCGGCCTCCTTCAAAATGTAGGGTCAAGTACCTGCTGCAAGTACTCGTGGGGTTCTCACCCGTCAGGGCCTCGCGTCGCGGCGGAGGAAGCAGGCGATGGTGCGGAGGAAAAGAATCCATACAGTGGTGATGGGGTGGTATTGGGGGAGATGCAAAGGAGGGGAACCTGGCGCTTACTTAAGTGGCCAGGGTAACAAAAATTCTCTCGAACGGCATGTTGGGAGCCAGACGGTGGCCTTGGTTTAAGGTCCTGTAAATCTGGCGTGTGGACGGTAGTGGTGTGAGCCTGTTTGGCGATGGGAGTCGCGCAGAGCTGTGTGCAGCAGTGCGACAGTGGTCGTGCAGACTGACGCGCGTGGTGCACACGCCGAGGTGCCGCCAGAGCCCGTTCGCAGCACTTGGGTGAAAAGATCATGCCGACTTGATGCATGAAGGTGTGCTCGGCTCCACTTCGCAGTAAAGATAATGCTGACTACCCGGTCTTGAGTCAGATAATGTCTAGCCTGCTTATCCTGAGGAGCCGAAAATGCTTGCTTAGAAAACCAAACAAAAACTCCATTATGACATCGTCACTGGACAGACTTAAGAAAATAGTAATGATCGGCAAAAGAAAGCATGCATATAAAATTGTACTGCATCTCAGTTATACATTACTATTAAAACCTCTCTGACAGTTTCTCTTTTAGGTGGTTGCCCTGCCAGGCTCCGTTGTGTAGGGGTTAAAGAACAGTCGTTTTCCACCTCGCAACCTGGTAAGGATCAATATATTCCCATAATGTGGTATCAGACAGCTTGCTTTGCTTATCCCAGTCTCTTGTAATGACTGGTTCAGAAAATTATTTCTCTGGTCCTTGGCCTACTCTGCCAAAATGTTTCTAGCTCTGGATGACAATTTATAGTAAAGGTTAAAATCACATCAGTCTCATTAGCTGTTTTCCTTTTTTCGTTTTTGAAACAACTACACTGGCTACATAGTAGCCAATATGGGAACTACATTTTGAATTTTAAAAAACTGCTCATGCATTTAAAATAGAAATTTCCTATTTAACCAAGTATCTGATGAGCAGAAAAAGGAAAATACGCTAATAAGGGGGATGTGAAACTTACAGCCTTTTATTACAGGGGACTGTCCCAAAAGTATAAGTAAATTGCTTTTTGAATGAAAAAAAGAAAATTAATTGGTGACCTGTTGGTTTAAAATGCTGTCTAGTAGTAGGGATGCACAGTACCATTCAAAAGCCCTTCTCTACTTGCTCTAATTCACAGTGTAGAGTTTTACCTGATGAAACAGCCTGAGCACTGGTTAAGTCACTGCAGAGGAATCCTCACATAGAGGAGTTGCTCATGCATGGACCTCTAAGGAGAATTAGGTTTGAAGAATCAGTGCATCGAAGTAACTCATTACTTTACCTTCCCATAAGTAAATCTGTGCCCATGCACACTGAAATTCCTATGTTACTTCAGAGTAGCTTTAAACTTTAAAAATATTGCATGTATATGCATGTGCTTAACTCTACTGTAGAGTTCTTAATTTAGCCTCTTACAGTATCCAGAAATCTATAACCTGATATAATTAAGCACAGTTTGGAGATAAGGAAATATGTATCTTGAGGCTAATGATATGAAAAAACGCTCCATAATTGCTCCTGAGATAGAAGGAGAAATAGTTTGACAAAAAAATAGTGTGTGTTTTCTTGTAGTAGTCAGTGTTTCTCCCTGTCACAGAAGATGAGTGGGTTCTTTTTTCAGTTGTATTATAATGTTTAGGTTGTTTAAATGTATGTCAGTGGGGGAAGAAGGATTGTGAAAATGATAATATGTAAAGTGAGGTTTCACAAAGAATACTTTCCTAAAACAGATTCTTTTTTTTTTTTTTAATTATGCTATTTAGTGTTTTTGTAGTCTTGTTTCTTAAAGCCTTAAATTTTGTGTTTAAGGCTAAGTAGGTGAAAGCATTTTCTCCGAGTCAATTGCTTTATTGGTGCTAGACCCTGTCACGTGTTCATCAGGAGAAAAGGAGTTTGATTTTTCTTTGTGAAACATCACTGTGTGATAAAGTATATGTGTATTTAGCATCCTTGTTTTTCTTTATGCTAAAGTGGATTCAGCTGTGTTGGGGCAGAAGAGACGGGACCAGCTGCTGGCCACATTTCCTGCTTTATTTTAAAAGGTAGTATAAGAAATGAGAATAAAGAGGTAACAGGGCTTTTGCTGTCTTTGGTTAAAAAAAAGAAGTTGAATGCTGGGATTATTTACTGTCATCCAAGATGATTTTTTTTTAAAAGGCAGTAGTCTATCAAACAGGTTTTACTCCACTGTATGCAGAATTCCATCTGTTCAGGGGATATTGCCAGCACAAAAGAGACTTAGTGGGATATGTGTGACCTTACACCTCTGCGGTGGCATCAACAGGGCTGTTCAAAGTTTCAGTCTTAACTTGGATAACTCTGCTGTAGCTTATGGGTTATACCAGTGAACAGGAGTCAGAGTTAACCACCAGGACCTGCACTGACTAGGATGCAAAATGGAAATAATTTAGATTCAACCTAATCTCAAGCTGCCTAGTTCAGACTTCATGAACGTGCTTTATTTTTCAGTTTAATGTGCTTGAGGAAAAGAGAAACACTAATTTAGCAAGCATGGGATGTTCCAGTGGCATTTTTATGGTTACTTCAGTGTAGGAGTGTTTTTTAAGTTAATTTAAATATGCATTCTTTCTTGTCGCATCACTGCTGAATGGCAGGGTCAGGGACAGTTCTTCTGGCCTCTGCTGTGAACCTGCACAATGCTCTGTTGTGACACGACCTGTGGCTGTGTCTGAGAGCAGCTGATTTTCTGACATACAAAATTATGTATTGTGGTACAAGAACAAGGTCAAGTCCCAAGAAAGTCAGTGGCTGCAGGCATTTCTAGTGCCTACTGAATCATATTTAAACCAAATAGAAGGGAGGAAGTTATTTGAAACTAACCAGCTGTACTATCTGTATGGTGTATTATTAATGTAGCTTTTTGAAGTGAAAGCCTTGAAATGACATAACTTAATACTTGAAAATATATTGTAAATGTTTCTTTGTAATTATGTGCCATTCAGATGAGAATACAATATCATAATAAAATCAGACTTGTTGATCTTTCAGTTTATGGGCTCAAATGTTTTTTCATCTTTTTCTTTTCATGAATGACTTGGTTCTTTTAAAAAAGTGGTAAAACAGAAAGGGGAAAATGTTGCTGCTATCTCTGGGTCATCAACTGGAAAACACAATAAAATGGATCAGGTTGTGCAGGAGAAATGTTCTTGCTCTTTGGAGGTAATTATGTGGTGAGGACAACACAAAAGTGTTATTCCTTGAACTGCAGATAGAGCTGTACTTCTGAGCATCAGCACTTCTTGTATTTCGTAGTTGTTCTTAATTTTTTTATTAATATGGATATGTTTGATCAGTATACCGTGGAGGAGTAAAATAGTTACATAAACCCTCCTGTGGTTTATTGGCATCTTCCTCCTTTCTGTTCTGTTTTTAGGCTCTGAAGTTTCATGACTGGTTAATTACATGGTGTTGAATCACAATCTTTGATCAAATTGCTATTTCCACCCCTAAACACTGGAGTGAGTGTTAAAAACAAAAGTTGACAGTGCTGAAAGGACAGAACATTTTCATGGCTCCAGAGTGGGCAGTGCACTGTATGTTCAGATTTCTGTTCATCTTAAATGCTTTATTTGCAGAGGACAGTTTAAAATAGTGCACTGGCTTGCTAGCATGAGGGAATTCTAGTGAAAGTGGTCTGCAGCTTGATAAAAAGGAGAATTTCACAAAAAATACTGCATAAAAATGTAAAAGCATACAAACATGCTCTGCCTTTTTGGCCTCTAATTGTAGAAAATACCCTGTTCAGCAGTGAAACGTGTTTGGTAAATTGTATGTACCACAGAACCAAGTGCTGCCAGTGTTCAGCTGCACAGCTGTGCTACCTGCATTTACCCTTTTTGTCTTCTCAACAGAGTCACTTGAAGACTATTTAGCGTTTAAATAAGAAACAATTTCATGCTCAGTTCTCCTTTAGTCTTTTGGAGTTTGATTTTGGTGCTGTGGCTCTTGGTAATATTCTAAATTAACTTCTCTTTCCTCTGAAGAGCTTTGCAGCATCCGGGAGTTAAAAACAAATCGGTGTTTCTGCAATCTGTAGCTGCCTGGAGAGATGATATCAAAGGAAATGCAGGGAGCCATGTTCCAGCACTTGGCATTTCCAGATAGTCAGATTTCTCATGCCATTTGTCAAAATTTTAATCAGTTTTCCCTGTGAAACATAGGGATCTTTGGCAAAATCCAAAGGCCCTTTGAACATTTACTGATTTTTAAAATGCTGTGTGTTCTGGAGTTTGTAGTTAAGGAGGTTTTCTGCTGGAATCTGCAATATTCTGGCTATTGGGCTGTATTACTGTTAGTTACACTGTAAAATGTCTGAAGGATATGTTAGGTATGGGAGCTGTTCAAAGGACTCTGTTTAAAGAACACCCTCTGCAAAAATTGCATGTTACCAGCTGCTGATTCTACATTTTCCCACCCAGTTTAAGTGGGATATGCAGATGTGGAGAAATAACTCTGCCTGTGCTCATTAGCAGGAGGATGCCAAGGGCAGGACTTGCACGTGTACCAGGAGGATTTGCAGGAGAAGTAGCATACATTGTAATGTGGAGACAGCATTTAGAATGGTGCATCTGCAAGAAAAAAAGTGGAGCTTTTTTAGTATTTCTCTTGGCTCTTATCTGTAGCTGTTCTTGGCATTCTTTTGGCCATAGCTGAGACTTGCAGTAGCCTGAAGTCCTTTCTGTGGGATATGTAGCTGTGCCTGGCTTGTTTCCACCACAATGTGGAAGAAAGGATCCAGCTGACACCTGCTGTCACTCAGTGTTTGTGGAGAGTGTATTACAGTTGCCAGAGGCCAAGGACTGGTTCTTGGGGGTTGTAGGAGATAGGTCATATCCTGTATGAAACAGGAATGGAAGGAACATTCCCAGATTCCTGTGCAGACACTCCTCCACATGCATGCATGTCAGAAGTGGGATAGTGTCTTGGTGTCCTGTGGAATTCTGAAACAATTTCAGACTTTATTGGTTGACTTCTGAGAACAGTTCTTCCCCTCAATAGTTTGAGAAGTACAGAGGCTGTAGCTGAAGTTCCTTGTTCACAAACACACCGACTTTCTAGTCTCAGGAGCGTTCAGCTGACCTTTGATGTGACTAGTTAAAGTACGTGCCTGCAATCTGTGTTCATCAGTGATGCTGGAAAAAATATCAGTCTTTGCAACTTACTAAAAATGTTGAGAAATATAACTTTTTTTTTTTTTTTTAATATACAATCTTCACCTTTCACTTCAAGAAATGAGTATCTAAAAGGATGTGGTTTGTCCAGGTCAGACCACTAAATATCAGAACATGCATTTTGGTGACTGAGGATAATTATCACTTCAATTTATACCACAATGAAAGTAGTAGTATATGGAAGGGAAGGTCCTTTTGAATCTCACCCTTTAATAAGCACTGGAATCTGTTTAGAGTATTTTAACTATATAATGTTAAACATTTGCAATAAGCATTGAGCCAATCATTGTCATTCTTCAAGATACTATTGCACAATAACACATTTATTTTATGTTTTTATTATCACAGGTAAGTGGTTCTGTTGGTTTAAGTCTGATGGCTTCCGGAGATATGACAATTCTCTGTCATGTAAAATACTTGGTCCATGGGAATCTCCAGTCGGGGTGATTAAGGTAAGGCCAAGCTGTCTGGGTGCAGACCAGGATGGGAACACCACATGACACAGCAACACTCTGAATCAAGAAAACTAAATGATCTCTACCTAACAACAAACAGGAGTCTGTATTGCTGCTGCTCCTGGGTATAGATAAAGAATGTGTCATGTTCCTGCTGTAATGACCCATTTTTAAGGAAAAGGTAGATAAAGATGATGAAACTCCTTCAACATATTTTCATCAGCATTACAGCATAAATTTTAACCCCTTTCAATTAAAGGTCTCAATGCTGAATTCTTAATTCTCATTAATAAATATATCCATGTGCATCAGGGGATGCTAGAATTTTACTGAAGTGACTGTTGACCAGTAACTGTACAGCTTTTACAGCCAGAGAACCATTTAGGTTTGGAAAAGACCCCCAGGACCATGGAGTCCAACCTTTCACTCATCACCAGCTCCTTGACTAGACCATGGCACTGAGTGCCACATCCAGTGGCACTTGATCACCTCTAGGGATGGTGACTCCTGCCACCTCCTGGGCAGTCCATTCCAATGCTTAACAAGCCTTTCTGAAACGAAATTCCTCCTGATGTTCAACCTGAAACTTCCCTAGCACCATTTGAGGCCGTTTCCTCTTGTTCTGTCACTTTTTCCCTGGGAGAAGGCGCCAACCCCCACCTACAGCAGGTTAAGACCATACAGCAGATTGAGAGTATTGCTTCTGTAGAAGAATTCCTGAATTGGCTCTCAGACTGCAGAATACACTAAGGACACCTCGGACATTTTATATTGCTCTAGAACATACAGCCACCAATGTGAAGACACACCCAACTCAAATGCATTACTCTTGGACATAGCTGAGATATCCCAGTAATGGCACCAGCCCTCAAAGGCCTCTGACACAGCCCCATCCTTCTGGAAAAGACTTAATTCCAAGGCAAAATGGTTGCAAAGCTAAAGGCTGTTTTTTTGATATGCTGGGAAGCCTGACAGGACTATCACTCCTGATTGCTCTGTGATAAAAGTGTTCTCTACAGTGTGACACATCCAACAGTGTAAAAGAGGTAATCTTGTGACAAAAGTTTTGTCCTAGCAGAATGGAGAAAAGGGAGAAAAATACTCAGATTTTGAGTAGATCTCTAGTAAAACCTTGCCTTGATCTGCCCCCTTTTGGTTGTAGGTTTTATGGGTTTTGTGGTTTGATTTTGGCGGGGTTTTTTTTGTTTGTTTTGTTTGTTTTTGGTGTTGCTTTGTTTTGTTTTTTAAATAAATCTCTATGGTTTGTATGGTTTGCATTATGAAGGAAAAAACCTCTTTTTCAAGAATACTAATTTTTTACAGCTTCTAAAAGTTGTAGCATCACCTTAGAACCAAACATTAAGCAGGGACTATAAATGCTTTATTTACTCCCATTTCCAAAGCAACACACCTGTCTGCTATTCAGGTGTATACACTAAACTGGATCTAATGAAAAGTTTAACTTGCATTTAAGTTCAAAACTTAAAAAATGCCAGTGCAGAGACTGTTTTTGTACTAAAAATACACAGCAACACTTCTCTTTCTTGTTTATTATGGTTACTTATCCAAGGCAATTGAGAAGTTGCTTTACTTCATTCAGGTAGCTCTTCAGGATCCCTGCTACTGTTCATCTGCAGTAGCATTTTGATATATATTCCGTGCTGTTTGGTGGCAAGATATAATCCAGTCAGAGCCTGTACCAGTATACCCAGACTCATCTTTCTAAAGACAGGCTGAGAAGTTGTGAGCCAGTAGCGCAACAGATTTTCTTTCCCTGGCAAGGGAGTTGACATATACCTAAACAAAAGAAACAGTGGTGGAATTTTTTTTCCATGCAAGTGTCAAGATTTAACATAAATATTTATGTAGATAGTAATTTTCTCTTCCTTCTCCTATGTTAAATTCGCTTGGTGGGACTGAGGTCTCTGCATAAGTGCTTTAAAAAAACCTGACCGTGTGCTGGGTCTCACCAAGCCTCGCCCTGCCCCTGTTGTGCTCTGAACTACACAGAGCGACACCTGTCAGGGACTCTGGCTCCCGGGCACTGCCCAGGGTCACTGAGGTCTCTTGGCTGTGCAGCCACCTTCAGTGGTGACAGGACGGCAGCCACTGCTGCACACACCCAGGCACAGCCTGGGAGACTTGTAAGGCTCCTGCTAAACACCAGGACTTCCCAAAGGATCACTTTGCAGATCTGATTTCACTTTGGTGTAGCTCTTACAAATTTCATTTTGTATTAGATGACCTTAACATATATCTCCTTCCACATTCTAAATGTCTACAAGAAGAAAAGTGTGCACAGATCAAATATCTACAGAATTTACACTGGGAGCTGAACATTTAACCCATGGATACATTTCTATCAATACACTGTAGATAAGACATACCTGGCTGCAAGGCTTGCGTTCAAGGGGATAGCCAGGAAAATGGGATAGAAACCACCCACAACAGCACCTACTAATCCTCCTCTGATCACAGCACAGACCTCGCAGTTCAGCTGACCTGCATGGCAAACCATATTTCACTGCCAATATCCACACATGCTCCACCACATCCATTTATAAGCTGAGTGCAAGAACCTGAAAACAGGCTCTTGACAGAAACTTCCAAGCTGTACAGGTATGCAAAAAAATATAAAGGAGGACTATTAAAAAACAACAACAAAGCCCAAAACAACAACAGAAACAGTCCCAAAACAAAAACTGAGACAAAACCAGAAACAATCACTCCCACTCCAACCTATGAGGAATTTTATCATTTGAAACCTGACCTTCAAATGAAATTGTACAGATGGGGGGAAAGTGAACGACTTTGCTGCAATCACTTTTACATGACTGAGAGAAAAATGCTGAAAATAAGTAATGTGTAAAATAATTTTTTTTTTAGAAATACATATAAATATTTAAAAATATATATAAATATGTATTTCCTTTCCCACTCCACTTTGAGAACTCACTGCTGTCCAATGCATTCTGTTTTTCAAACTCTGCTTTACAAACTGAGGTTTTTTAAGACCACAACAGTTTAGGAGCAGTGTTCTGCAAGGAGAAAAACTCCTCTAGTGTTACATTGTGTGCAGAAAGTAAAGCCCTTTCAAAAAAAAAAAAAAGAGAAAGGAATGAAAAAGTTTTTACCTGAAAATAAAGGGTCATGCACAAAAGTTTCATAAATTGCTGCCGTTGAAAGAAATGGAATAACAGCCATTGGCATAGCAGACACCAGGGAAGCCTTCCTGACATGTAGGATGCTCCTGAAGAAATTATTTGCTGCTAAGCCACATAAGCTTGAATTTGCTGCTAGGAAGTATTGTCCATGATTACAGAGGTTCCTGTGAAAGAAGGGAAATTGTTTCAGCAACTGAGAACTGTAAAAAAGTTTTGCTTAGTCAACACTACAATTCTCTTCTGAAAATCCTGCAGCAAGGGGTAAAGAGATGTAAATCACTCACTGGTGCAAAATGGAGAGTAACTACTTTCAAAAGCAGCCAGTGCAGCATCCTTTGTTGTATACCTGAGTTTACACACACTTCAAGAGTGAAGTGACAGGTTGAGAAGCCTTTGCTACCATTTTTCCCCCCATTATTATAGTTAATGGAAACTTCACTAAAGCTCTCCTAATAAACATGTTTTTAAGGATAATGTTTTCTGAAAAGAAATGAGGAAATATAATAAAATGTATAATTTTAAAAAGTCAAGTCAATCTACTTACTCTTCTACATTTTAATGTTTTGAGTAGTATTGAGCACTACGGAAAAGATTTCAGAGATGTACTTGCTGATCTTGTGAAATACTTAAAACACTAAAAATGTCAGACATCAAGGACACCAACTATTGCTTGTTTTGAATAGGAAAATTCAAATTTTACCTTTGCAATCACAGGCTGTAAAATACAGGCGAACACATCAATAAATACAGAGGACGAAGATTAAAATTTTAGCAGCATATTTAAGTACCCAAACCAGAGCAAATTAATATACTCAGGACCAACAGAATCTACTTAGTGAGGTACAGAACTGCTACACTGCACAAAAGAAAAGGAAAGGAGGATGGAAGAGGTGGGGTTTGGGGTTTTTTGTTTGTTTGAGCTCCCTAGTGTCAAACACAAGTGCTTGGGTAAACAGGAACTCTCACTTTGACTGCAGTGTGCTTGCCCTTCCTACCCAGACATCAGTGAGCTCCCCTCTGGATACAAGCTCTAAGTCCTGCCAGTGACTGGCAGCTACTTCTTTCCAAGGCCCAGCAATCCATAAGTCCAGAGTTTCTATCCAGACATTACCAGATCACTACGGAGTATCTGCCTCCCCTGCTCTTCTGGGGAAGGAGGAGTTTTGGAGGCTGAACATGAGGGCAGCAGATCCTACACAAAGTTGCAGCCTTTGCTTTCTCACCTGTGTGGGGAGGCCCTGTGTTACTACCAGCAGTTTGTTTAGCCAGCCATTTAGTCCTATTTAAAAAAATATAAATAAAATAAGCTTCTGATTACTCTTATTTCTAAAAAATTTATCCAAGCTGATACACACATGCAAATGGCTCATAACAGAACCAGCTCAGGTCCAGAAAGGTTTTGCAGTGACATGCAGTATCACAAACCAAAAGGTCATTTGTGAGGCCCAGAAGGCATTTAGCTGGCTCTGTGCTGTACAGAACCCTGCTGGAGAGCCTGCAGGACTCCAGCTGACTCCTCCACCACCACCTGGACACCTTAGTCTCGCCTTCCTGAAACAGGGAGCAGTGCAGAATGAAATGCAGAAACCAGCAGGTTGATGCTCACTCAGTGAGCTGGCCCCAGGCCAGCTCTGCTGGACACAAGATGACTCCAGCAGAATCACATTTCGGTTTCCTAGAAAAATTTTTAGCTGTAGCACAGGACTGTGAGAATGCTCAGCCAGTCAGGGCTGATCAGCCATTGCAGAACCCTCAGCACTGGGGAGCACATGCCAGAAACCAGCTGAGCAGGACCAGAGCCAGCACTCAAATAACCATATTGAAAAAACATAAACCAAGTCTTCTGTTCTGGACGATAACAAGCATCTTCACAATTAACTAATTTTGTAACTGCAAGGAGAATTTGTAATACAAGAATAAGGAAAAAGAAAAGCCTCCAGGACTTGAAATCTTTGATGCACTTATCTTCATTTATTTTACCAGCACTTACTGATCTGCTTTAGGAAGCTCATTGAACATCTTTTGTATGATTTCCATCCGCTTAAATCTTTCCAGAATTAGTCTTTTCTGTGGAGAATCCAGTTCAAGAAACTCTCTTCCTGTCATCTTGAAGTTCTGGATCATAAGGAAAAAAACCCCATATGTTATATAGCCCCAGTATAAATCAAATAAACATTTAGACTCTTTGCCACAAATACATTCCCTGTTTTGCATGGCTATATTCCAGATTTAAATTGACTTAACAGTCAAACAGACCTGTAAGAAAAAACCCCAACCAAATAAATCAGAAAGCTTACAGCTGCAGTGGATTTGTGTGGCAAGGTTTTGGTAGCAGGGGGGATGCAAAGGTGGCTTCTGAGATGCCAGGAGCTCCCCGTGTCTGACAGAGTCTGTTCCATCTGGCTCCAAGACAGACCTGCTGCTGGCCATGTCTAAGCCCATGGCCACACTACAGTGATGGTGTGTGTGGGGAAGTTAAAAAAGGGTAAAAACTGGTGCAAAACAGTAGCTGGAAAAGAACAGTGAGAACATGTGAGAGGAGCAGCCCTGCAGACCCTACCCCAACCAAATAAATCAGAAAGCTTACAGCTGCAGTGGATTTGTGTGGCAAGGTTTTGGTAGCAGGGGGGATGCAAAGGTGGCTTCTGAGATGCCAGGAGCTCCCCGTGTCTGACAGAGTCTGTTCCATCTGGCTCCAAGACAGACCTGCTGCTGGCCATGTCTAAGCCCATGGCCACACTACAGTGATGGTGTGTGTGGGGAAGTTAAAAAAGGGTAAAAACTGGTGCAAAACAGTAGCTGGAAAAGAACAGTGAGAACATGTGAGAGGAGCAGCCCTGCAGACCCTAAGGTCAGTGCAGGAGGGGCAGGAGGTGCTGGAGCTGAGATCCCCTGCAGCCTGTGGTGCAGCCCATGGTGAGGCAGCTGTGCCCCTGCAGCCTGTGGAGCTCCAAAGGGGAGCACAGATCCCCCTGCAGCCCCTGGAGGATCCCATGCCAGAGCAGCTGGATGCCCAGAGGAGGCCATGACCCATGGGAAGCCTATGCTGGAGCAGGCTCTGGCAGGATATATGGCCACATGGGGAGAGGAACCCAAGCTGGAGTGGGTTCCTGGCAGGACCCGTGAGCCCATGGGGAACCCACAGTGGAACAGCGACCGCTGCTGAAGGACTGACCCCTGTGGAATGGGCCCACACGGGAGGAGCTCACAGAGAACTGCAGCCTGTGGAAGGACTCCTGTTGGGGAAGTCTGTGGAGAACCGTCTCCCGTGGAAGGGACCACGCACTGGAAAAGAGTGCAAGGAGGAAGGAGTGGTAGAGACAACACGTGATGAACTGACTACAACCCCCATTCCCTGTCTCCCTGCACTTCTAAGAGGGAGGAGGACATAGAGAAAAATGGCAGTGAAGGGAGGGGTGGAGGGAAGGTGTTTTAAGAATCTGGCTTTACTTCTCACTACCCTGTTCTGATTTGATTGACAGTATATTCAATTTCCCCACAGTTTCCTGTTTTGACTGTAATGGTAATTGGCGAGTGATCTCCCTGTCCTGACCACAACCCCTGAGCTTTTATTCACACTTTCTCCTGTTCTGCTGAGGGGGGTGGAAAGCGGTAAGAGCGTCTTGGTGCCACCTGAGGCCAACCCTTCACAACAGCTCTTGATTACACTTGGAGTTCAGTGATTCAAGTGCTTCTTTTCCTACACGTTTTACTGCAGAGGAAATTCTCCCAGACTTACTTTGCCAATCATACTTACCTTAAGTTGCTATTATAACGTGAAGGCTGTGTCCTAAGCCCTACCTACGGGACTGAGCCCGGTTCGGTTCGGGCTTGGCAGGAGCCGAGGAAGCGGCAGGATGTCACCGGGAGCGCTTCAGGCCGCCCGAGGAGGGTCCCCAAACCTGTGCTTTGGGATCCCACAGACAGCACGTCACGGAGCTGTAAGCACCCCCTCTCCCTGAGCATTGCACATTCGTCTCTCCCTGAGCCTTGCGCGCCGCCGGAGGCAGAGGGAGCCCTCCCAAAGCCCCGGGCCCGGCTCGGGTCAGAACCCTCAAGCCGGGAAATTGCGGCTCGACCCCGACCTTCAAACCCCACGGCTGCCACTGGCTGCCCCCGCACCGCGCGAACCCTCCCGGCCTCCCCGCCGGGCTCAGGCTCCGACCTTGAGCCGTACAGACGGACACGGCCCCGCCGCCCTCACCGAGCCGCTCCCGCCGCCTACAACATGGCTCCTCCCACCTCACGTCCTCCCCGTGGGCGCCGCCATCTTGCTCGCTCACATGATCAGGACCTTCAGAGGCCGCCTGTGATTGGACCGTTGGCCGCCGGCCCAGCATGGCGGCCGCCAATTGGCCGCGGGCCGGCGGGCGGGGCCCGGCGCTGGTTGCCGGGGCGGCGGATGGCGGCGGCGGCTCCTCGATGGCGGCGGGACTGAGCGTGGATCCTGCAGCGGCGGCCGGGACGCGGGGACTCCCCCTTCGGTGCGGGGAGGCCCAGTCCTCGGGGTAACCCGCTGACCCCCTCCCCTCAGCCCGCGCCCCTTCCCCGCTTGCCCCCTCGCAAAGCCCGCTGCCCCCTTCCCTCGCCACCGGCTCCTTTGTGCTCCCTCCCCGTCCCGCCCCCTTCGAACACCCCTCGCCCCGGCTGCGTCTCGCTTCGCCCCACCTCCAACCCCTCCCTCATCCCCTCGGCTCCTGCAGCCCCGGGGGGCGTTGTCCTGTTGTCCCTCAGCAGCCCCGGGGGGAATTGTCCCCGTCCGTAAAGGCGGGCTGGCTCCGCCAGTTCACCTGCATCCATCGCGGTCCCCCAGGCAGCCCCTGTGTCGTGTTTGGCCTCGGAAAGCAGCAGGCGGAACCCTTTGGGTTCGAGGGAACCGGGGACGGGGGCGTGGGGAGGGGATGAAGGGGGACAGCCCCCGAGTCCCTGGCCGCGGGACGAGCAGATCCCGGCTGCAGATCCGAGAGCAAAGCAGAGCCGCCCCTGCCCAGGGCTCCCGTCTCCCCGGGGCGGTGATGCACAGCCGAGCCCCGCCATGTGCGCCGCAGCTCCTCGTCCGCGCGGGAAGGGAAGCGTTCCCTGCTTGTCCGCCCTTCTCAGACTTTTCCTTAACCAAGTAGATGAGGAAAATCTATCCCGTTTCTGTTTCTCTTTTTGTTTTTCCAGAAAAAGGGGGAGAGAGAGAGAGGCTGATACTGAAGCCAACCAGCTGCGCTTCTGAGTGGGAAACTCCGGACTGATCTCATGGCTTGCTTTTTATTTCATTAATACTTCATTATCTCTGAAAATGAACCTTTTGTGAAGCTCTTCTCCTAACTCTCCTTATTCCTCTTTCACGAGGTGGCTGCTGCTGTGCGAGGGAAGGAATGGCATGAAGTAAATGACTCCAGTATAAAAAGCAATCTGCTTTGCCCAAGTGCCCAGTGGGCAGCACTGTCACTTTAATAATTCCAGGTCAAGGGATTGCTTTCCTCGTTTTCAATCCTCTCTTTTAATACATGGGAGGATCAGAGGGACATTAAAGACCGTAAGGCTGGGTGGCTTGCAGATAATAAAAATGAAAGTGTCTGCCCAGTGACTTCTGTTGGGTAAGAGGGTGATATTTGAAGGCTCTTGTCTGGTGAGGAAAAAGGGATCTTTTCAGTCTGCTGTGTAGTCACCTAATACATAGCTAGCAAAATTAATTCAAGAAGTGAAAGAGCTTAAAGAGGCGCTTTGGATTGTTTTTGTCTTCCTCCTTATTTGGATTACTTGGGCGTTTTTGTCCTGCAAATAATATGTTTTTGAGCATGTACAGGTGGAGTATTGAGACAGCTGCCTAGAGATGGACTGTGCCTTAATTGTATTGCATAAAATCTTTTAATTTTCAAACTTTGCTGCCAGAAGAGGAGTTATAATAAGGTTTTATATTGCCAAGGAACGTTTGCTCTTGTATTTTTATAGAGTCAAATATATTTTAAAGAAATTGAAAGCATCTCTTTAAAAAGAATCAAAAAGCTTCTTCCCCCCCCCCCCTTTTATTTTTTCTTTTTTGTGGAGAGCATCGCAAGTCCAACCCAAGGGAACAGCAAGTATTCATAGAAATGAAGATTGAAGCTGCATTTCCTTACTGAACTGTAAAAGTGTTCTGCAATAGATAGTCAGTTCCTGACCTTGCAGAGTGTTCCAGTAGTACTTCGTTAGTACCTGTAAATAAGTGCTTGCAACCAGATTCAGAAGTAGGAAGAAGAATGCCAGTCAAGAAGAAAGGTGGGCTATGAAGCTTCATATCTCATATTGCATCTTCATTGTGTTAGATTGTTGATTTCTAGTACTTAACCATTTCAAATTAAAAATGCTTTAATGGGGAATGGAAATCGTTTTTCTTTTGCACTGAAAATGGGAGAAAAATCTGTGCACTTACAATAATAATTTTTAAAAGTAACTTTATGCTATGTTTTAAGATTTACGTCAAATTTGGCCTCAAATTTTTTTTTGTAAAAATCAGCTGGTCGAGATTTTGAGCAGGCACCAAGAGAAAAGCTTGATGTTTAATTTTGTGAGAAGCCTCTCTTACAAACGCTAATAAATTTGAAAAGTTTAATAGTTTAATCTGTTATCTGTTTGTGACGTTTGGCAGATAAACATCAATTATCAGTAGCAGCATAAATAAATAACAGAGTTTCAAGGCTGATTTTAAAACCAAGTTATGAGAGCTGTGTTTTGAAGGTGATTTGAACGTGATTTTTTTTTTTTAATGTGATGTTAATTAGCTTGAATTTCCTTGCTTTGGTACAATATAAAACTACTGTCTTTAAGGCTGTAGTATGGCAACATTTAAGAAAAGACAAACAGCCTTACATTTGGCCTCTTCTCACCTCAAGTTTGTGTTTGCAGCTTTGGAAAATGTGACTTCCAGTGTTCAGACAACAATTGGGAAGTATATGAAGGCAAATTCTTACTCTGAAAACACTCGCACACCTTAGGTTATTTCTGGTTTCTTGCAAATTGGACACAGATTTAAAGTTTCTGAATATGCTAATAGAGTAAGGGTGATGGGAACCTTTTTTTATTCAGCTTATCTATCCATCTTATTGTGCCTTATCTATCTATCTTATTGTGCCTGGGTCTAATATATCCCTGGATCTGATGATACAAAATGTGGGGAAAAGGGCAAAAAGTGAATGTTGCAAACAGAAATGAGGATGTAATCGATGTGGCTTTGGATTCTCTTCCATGTAGGAATAATCCTTCATTAGTTACGAGTTAACATTTACTATATAAATAATGATAAACACACAGATTGCTAGAATTATTTTCATTTAAAAAACAATAAATGGGATTTTGTGATTGTGTTTTAAAAAATGACAGTGTAGAAATGAAATTTCCAACCTGAAATATTTTCATGGATGGCCTTGTCATTCATGGAATTGCTTGCCATTATGTGTAGTAAAGGTGGAAACGTGTGTGGAGTTCTGTTCTTAATAATTCGTCCTGCTGTGCTGTAAAAGTGTCACCCTGATGTACTGGGGAGGCTTCTGTATCCTGTCTGTTTACAGAAGGAAAACTGAGGCTTTTCATTGTTCAGTTTTAATCCTGATTTAGGTGATTTACACTGAGGATGTTTCTGTGCCAGATGTTCAGCTGCAATTCAGTTTCTGAATACTTGCTGCAGGACTTTAGGGGTGAAATCTTAGAAGCTCCTTTGTGCAGAAGTGAGATTGGCAATCACAGCAGTCCCTTCTGGCCTTAAAAATCTCTGAATTTCCTGTTTGTTTCCAGGCACTTGGGGTCAGTCTTAGTGTACACCAAGGCTTGACTTTCTTCTTTGGTGTTACGAGGATGTGTGTTTTGGCAACATTAAAATATAAAGAGACCCAAATGTCCCCCTTGAAATACTTTAAATTGTCACATCAATCAGCGTACTGAAGTTGCCAGTGTGAATGTATTTGATTATTAAAAGGGTATTGTTAAGAATGTATTTTAAGCATGTAAATTGCAGGATTAAAAGTGTTGGCGAATCAGCAACTTCATTGTGATTTTGAACGACTTAATTTGTCTAGTTCATGCAATACACTTTAACTTTCTAAATGTAATTAAAAGCATGCTGGCAACTCAAAACATTCTACCGTTTTTAAAAAGATTGCTATTTTTTGAAGTAATGCCTGTTAATTCTATGAATGTTAGGGGGATTGAGGGAATTCTTCTATGTTTGGTTTTTGGGTTTTTTTTCCCCATTTATTTGCTTTATGATTTGACAGCAGTTTGTGGGTAACTAGTTTAGTATTTCTGATGATGACTTATTTTCCTTTTCTGGGGAAAATTTGGGAGTTCATGTTTGCTGTCCTTCCCATCGAGGGCATCTGTAGAAATCTCAGTGGGATACACTCTTGTAGGCTGTGCAGAAGTATTTCAGTATCAGCATCGAGGACAGGATTATCCCTCTGCTTGTCAGCACTTCTTTCTGCATTGCTATTTTGGATTTGATTAAAATATTCTCCTAAAATCAGTATGGAGACAGAGAAACCTGTGAAACAAGTTTTAAAACATACTGATATTTATCACTGGAAATTGTTACCAAGAACTGTTTTTCTTTGGCAGTGGCCGGTTGTGGGTCTTCCTAAAGAAAAATTGAAGCATTTTGGGAATTTACCTTTGAAATAGCTTCACATTTCACATAGCTTTGCACCTCAGTTACACTTCACCTTACTGCTTGGTGTGATGCCTGCTATCTTGCTTTTAAAAGTCCAGACCTGTATAGTTAGGAAGAAAATAGTTTGCTTAATAATAAAAATCATATAACTTATAGGAAGCTTTAATTTCTTATGGGTGTGGGGAAAAAAAAAAAAAGGCTTTGTTCTGGTCGTGCGTCAGTACCTGATTTCCATTGCCTGATGTGCTAGAGTGAAAATATTTTGTTTTTCTCACTTCAGTGTGGAGGGCAATGAGGCTCCACCTTCCCAGGAATGTTTACAGAGTTGACATGCTTGCTGGCAGTACCAGCAAAAAGCGAGGCTGGGAAGGGACTATGGAGTATCCTGTGGTGTTGGATGTGCTCCCTATAGGTATGGGGTGAGACTTGTATGGATTGGTGCACTACTGCTTCACAGTTAAACAAAGGGCTCTTCTATTTGGCTTTTGCTCATCTCTAATTTTGAAGTACACTTAAAGTTTTAAATCAGACAGGACAGGCATTTGACTGTAGTTACAAAATGATTTGTTAGACAGTGCCACTTAGAGATGGAATGAAATGAAATGAACAATTTTGAGAAGTAAATAAATTCATTACTTTTGCTTAATTTTTACCTTTCACAAACTACGATATTTCTGAAAGAACTATTCATGGAAATACGGAATTTCTTGAGGAAGTCTTTGCTTCAAAGTAAAATAGTACTACCATACAGAAGAAGTGAAGTTAGGTTTTTGCATGGTTTAGATGTCTGCTCTCCCGCCCTCCCTCCCTGAGTTACTTAGCTTGATTTCTGTTAACTGTAAGGAACTATATTTAGGTCTGTAATTGCACATATTTTGGATTCATCAACAGAATAGTTAATAGCAAAAATGTTACTGTAATTCATTCATGTCTTTCACAGTGATGGAAAGTACTAATTAAATCCGTGCTCCTCTGTGATGAAGGCCAGATTCCAGTTTTGGAGCCCTGCTTGTGATTCACACAGCGATGGCAGGAACCCCCACATCTGGGTGCTTGGCTGCACATGTGCTTCTAGACTAACCCTGTCATCGTCCTTGCACATCTAGCTGTGTCTAGGCAGTCAGAGATAGGAGTGTTGGGTTTTGTGCTGTCCTCATGCCACTTTGTATCTCTCAGAGGGAGAGGAATTGTACCTTTGGTCTGATGAAACCTGTGGGCTGCTGTTAAAACCATCTTGACTCGCCCTACCTAGTTGCCCGTTTATAAAGATGTGCTGATTCTGTCATGGAATAACTTTTTGCATATTCCTTTTATATTAAAAATGCCTTCCAGGACATGTTTTATTAAGCACATCAATGTCAAGAATTAAAATGCGTCAGTCTGAATCCATGTGGACAACTTCTGGGCCATTTAGAAGAATCTGACAGATGTGCTCTATGAAATGCTGGATTTTGTAGTGGTAATGCTGACTTTGTGGCTGGTCTTTTGAAAAGAAAGGGTCTAAAAACAACTCAGCAGGAGCTTTTTTTTTTTAAAAGCAAAAAAAACCTTTGCTTTTAAAGCAAAGTTCATAAAGGACCAGACAAAGCTAGCTCCCATTCATGCCCTAATTCTCTTTCAAGCTGGAAGCTTCTTTTTAGCTAACAAAATTTAAATTTAGGATCATAACTTTTTGTGCTCAAAAATCTTGAATGTGGTTTCAGTCTTCTTACATCTTACAGCAGCAAATCGAACGTATATTGGAAATTTTCTTTCTCGTTTACTTGTAACAGGTAATTGGTATTACAAGATTTTTGTCCTTTCAGTTGCTGAATACGAATTCTCAAATAAGTATATGGCTAAAAGGCTACCTCCTTCACTCCAAGTTTTGTTCAACTACCTCTCAGTTTTTACAGTTATTTTCAGTAAGGGAGCAGTGCAAATTTTAGTTATGTTTACAGACTGTGGAAAGCACATTTTTAGATTTCCAAGAGTTAAACAACCAAGTGTCAGAAAATGACTATCTAAACCATGCCAATTTTCACCACAAAGCTTTGATTTAAAGATGTCACTGCTTTTATGGCAGTGAGCTTTTTCCAGCCAGACATTGTTTCTGCTGTGAGAAACAGTGAAGTATTTTGCCTACAAAAGGACTAAAGGAGTAGGCATTATGCAGAACAAGCCTTTGTTATATGCATGCACACTGCAAAGCTAAGTGGACTCTGGACTGGGAATAGTGAAATTTATGCTCTTTTATAGCCCTGCTGTTATTCTGGTACTTCTCAGATGTTTAATGTAGATCCATCCCATTTTAGTTGCCTCACTGAGGTAGGGTGCCCAGCTTTTTGTCCTGGAGTGTTGCTTTGGTCAGCAGAGAGAGAGATCCACCTCCAAAGGGCATTTTAACACACGTAAGATCGGCATTGCCTTCTGGACAATTGTCATTGTCTCTCTCCCCACAGACAAAACACAGGGTAACCACACTTGTAACTCCCTTACCTCAGTTTGATGATGTCTCATTCTCTCATACAAATTTTAGTGGCAAAACATCTCCTTATCTGAGATATTTATGAGCTGACGCTCTGTGTGTTCTTTGAGTGCTATAAATTAACACTATTCATTATTTTGGGGGGGAAGA